CATCTGTCGTTTTCTCTCCATCCCCTCATCTTTTCACACTTAATCATGTGCCTTTCCCTCAGATTTCTGCAGTTTTCATTGTGACTGATCCTTAGAAGCCCTTGCTATGCCATTTTCCCTTCACATTAGGAGATCTGCTGGGCCATTAAAAAAACACCTTCCTTCAGTTATCCCCCCTATCCTCTCCCAAATGGACCCTGGCATCAACCCCCACACTTACCAAAACTGCCTTTTGAGGTCCTTATTCTGCTTCTCTCATCTCCCTGCTTTCTCCAGAGCACCCAATGCCAACTCCACAGCCACTTTCCACCCAAATTACCTCTGAATTGACAAGTTTTAACTGCATCAAATAAGCCTGACTGTAACCCAGAAGAGCCAGTTGCAGAATAACACCCTGTACCTTCTGAAATACAAACTGTCCTCTGTGGAAAAAAAAAATCTATTAACTTTTTGTCTTTTCAAGTTTTCACATGGTAGGAACTTTCCCAGCAGATACCTAAGCAGTGAATACCTCCCATTTCCACCAGAATTCATTGTTTGGGAATATTGGTGGGTGAAAAATTGGGCACAAGCTGTCAATGTGTGCTCACACCCCAGAAAGCCAACTGTGTCCTGGGCTGCATCACAAGGACCATGGACAGCAGCTCGAGGGAGGGGGTTCTGCCCCTCTGCTCTGCTCTCATGAGACCCCACCTGCAGTGCTGCTTCCAGCTCCGGGGCCCTCAGCACAGGAAGGACATGGACCTGTTGGAATAAGGCCAGAGGAGGCCACAAAAATGATCCTAAGGCTGGAACACCTCTCTAGAGAGGAAAGGCTGAGAGAGGTGGGGAAAGCTGAGGAAAGCTCTGAGGGGACCATAGCTTTTCAATACTTCAAAGGGGCTTATAGGAAACACAAATAAAGACAGGACAAGGGGCAGCAGCTTTAAACTGAAAGAGGGTCAGTTTAAACATTAAGGAAAAAAATTTTCATGATGAATTTGGTGAGACATAGGAAGAGGGTGCCCAGAGAAGTTGTGAATGCCCCATTCCTGGAAGTGTTTGAGGACTGGATGACTTCTAACAGTCCATTCCAGGCCAAACCATTCTGGGATTCCATGTTACCCAAGCTCTGGTAATACAGACTCTGCTGATGTTCAGCACTGAGCCTCCAGCCTTTCCTGAGAGAAAAGTCTCCATTCCAATGCTGCAGTTTTCATCTCCCAAAGTCTGTGCGATGCCCAGCAATCATTTTTGACACATATTGACAAAGAGTTCCTCCTGTGCATTCCTCATAGTGGTGTACAGACGTTTTAGCTTCGCATGTTGCCTCGTTCTCTCTCCTGGATCTTACAGTCCCAGCTTCCCTGAATAATTCATTTACGTCAGTGAGGTGCAACAGTCTCTCAGGACACAGAGTTTCACAGCAGAAGCTAAGACAGAACCCAAAACTTCAAGCCCCTCCACCAGCTGCATTTAAGCCCTAAAGACTAGAAATAACAAGTATTGATCATTCTCTTTCTCTTGGCCAGTAATGGTGTTAAGGAGTCACAAATCTCCCCTGAAAGTTCATTTGTAACTAGCCTGCTTCCCTGCAGAAAGGTTCTGAGCAGTCAGCATTTCTGACCAACCAGCCAAGCAAACTTTCCCCTACAAGCTGCCAAAACACATCCTTGGAAGAAGCCTGGTCAGCTATTCAGAGCACCTCAGAACAGTTAAAACACTACTGGCACCCAGATAGCTGCAATATTGCTGCAATAGTTCACCCAGAGAAATACAGCAGCAAATCTCTCCCCTCAACTTCCCTGCTCCCCAAAAAACACAACCAAAATCCCCAAAACCAGACTCACTGCAGTGCCAGTGCCCTTATTACCATAAAAATCTGTAATCACACATAGCTGCTTAAGGGCTCTGTGTCTTTGAGAAAGCTTCAGGTCTGCACAAAACACCCCAGTTATGGCAACAAGTCTTATTTTAACTCTATATCATTTCAGGATGACCCCAAGTTGGAGACTTCCTCTTTACAGAGGTCACCAAATTCCAATAGAAATTAAACACTATTAATGTAACATCCAGGTAAGCTTTTGCTAAGATAGGTTTATGAAGCCTCTAAACATCAGTGTTAACGAGCATCCCTCATGAATCAAAAGCACTGTGGTCTGTTTCTGTATTACACTATAAGGCCCATCTTCTCTTGGCCAAAAATACCACATTTTAGCTCAATATTATTTCTGGTACTGATAGACTCAGTGTCCCAACCCAACTGGAACTGATACTCCTTGGCCTTGAAGGTTGAAATCAAGCTGATTTGCCTGGTTATACTCACTGACAAACACCCTGTGGTCCAGCAGTTTGTGAAAGCTGAACTCAGCCATGCACAGAGGCACCAGAAGGATTTTCCCACAGGTTTGTGCCTTGCTATTCCCCATCTCCACACCACCACTGATCTGTTTTGGAGTCCCTTCACCTGCCAATGCTCACCTGAAACCATGACAGTTGTCTAAGGGTCTCTGTTGCTCAAATGGGCACCTGAACTGCATCTCACAGGGTACCTTTTTTCCCCATCCTGGACATGAGCAACAGGGGAGTGCATGACAATGAGATACATGAAATTAATTCCTACCTAAGGGTGTCAGGTGCAGTTATGTGGATTTTTATGAGCCATACACCGTGACCAGAATCCAACAAGTGCTACTGATTTTACTGAGATCAGAGCTGGCTGTCACTCCCCTGCTCTTAGTGCTTGGGTTGGGTTTTTTTTTAGATATTACAGAGCACCACTCAAAAACAAGTCTTCGTAAGAGTGAGAAAAGTGGACAGAGGGAGATTTTAAAATTCAGGTCGGTGTTATCCATGCTGCTGCTGCCAATTCTGATCTTTATGTTTACCCAAATAAGAGGCTGGTGGGCAAGGAAACACGTGAGCAACACTGGAGAAAGAAGAGTCAAAGGAGTACAAACAGAATCCTGAACTAAGCCAGTACTTGTTAACAAGTTCTACTTACGGGGTTACTGGAATTCTGATCCCCACTATCCACCTGGGAGATCAAATATTGCAAGTGTTGGCTGTGGAACAATCAGGACTCTCCTGGGCACTCCTGGCAGAGCTGCAGTCCAAGAACTGAATCTCCCCCCTCCAGCCACGAGACACAGCCAGACTTGGGAAGGGTTTGGCAAGCACAGGATCTGAATAAAACGACTGCACGTTCCCTCCCTCTAAAACTGCTTGTGTTTGTCATCTAGATGGGATTGCAAGTGCCTTTATAGACTGTTTTAAGCATATAATTAAGAATATATAGTGTGTAGCTGGCCTTTGCTCAGCAAATGGTGATCATACAAGTGTCATAAACCACTCAGTGTAAAACTGATCTGAAGCATTTTCAGTCTATCAACATGAGCTTCCCCACCTCCCCAAAAGGAGTGTGGTCATTAATCAGCCTTGCAGATCAAAAGGTCACAGGGGATCAGAACTCTTTCAGAAGAGCATTCTTTAACCTAGCAGACAAACAAAATCACTGTCTGAAGTTGAGCAAAGAAGCAGAGTACCTCTAAAGGAAGCACTGAAGCTGGAAGGATATGATATTTTGGGGGGCCTGATTGTGTAGAACAGACTTTTAGAGTGGGGACCGTTTCTGTACCAGGAGCTGAACGTGGAACCAGTGGTTTTGCTCAGCTGCCTTTCATGGCTCTTCTTTGAGACTAAAACCAGAGAAAGTGGGAGAAGCTCCTGCAACTCCAAAATAAAGTCCAATATCAGTGTTTGGTAGCTTGGCTATCATGGATTCAGATTTGGCATCTGTCAGCACATCACAGGGGAGAAAAACTGCAGCCTGCTCACCTAAAGGGACACTCCAGAGTCCCATCAAACTGGTCCCATCACTGTGTATGTTCTGGTAAATACCCATCAAAGAAAGCTGAGATAATGGTAAATTAATTTGTGGAGCCTACATGAAAGCTGCAGGAAACTATCTTACAGCTTTAAACCAAGACTCTGTATTTTTAAAGACAATAATCTGTAGTTCAGAAGCATTTATGAATCCACTGGAAGCTTCAGAGCATCATGTGTATAAAGGAAGACCGGGCAGATCATCACATCAGTTTAAGTTATGGCTAGAAACTTTAAAAGAGAAAGGAAAGCTTTGTTGATTTTCTTACACTTCGAAGTTCCTACCTGATTTAGAGACGTTTATACTCAAATAATCCCTCTGACAAGGGTGAGAAACAGGATTCTAAAACTGCATAACCTTTAACTAGAGTGAGTTTTCATTCAAAAGGGAAGCTAAATAAAGACACTAAGTAATAATTTAACATCTAAGCTCAGATTTAACATCCAAGAACAGATTGTAACCAAGCACCACTCCAAATTGACAGCAAAAGCAAGGCAAAGAAACATGAACTGCTCTCTATACACAGAGAGTATCACATGACTGGTTTGTGAAATAAGAACCAATTTCCAGGGGCTCTGAGCAGCTCCAAATGTCCTTTTTTTTTTTCAATGGGAACTCTGCACACTGTTAAGGAATGACTGATGCCATGCAAACACCTGTATCCAAAAGTCCCAAATCACAGCAATTGGTAACAAGAACTTCTGTTTCCCCAATTTAGCCAAGCTTCCATTTAGGCACAGAACGTGAAGTGCCACCAAATGAATCCAGCATTTTAAGAGCTGAAAGAGTAATCATGTTCTTAAGAAACTCTGAGATACAGAAGAAATAAAACTGAGTCTGAATACAAAATTACAGGCTGATGTTATGTTTAACTGTGTAGACTAATGTCACAGATGATGTCTAGTATGAAATCCTGTTAAAAAAAATAGGTTTCAGGAAAGTTTTACTATGCAAATGAAATGAAATTTGGTGAAGTTTAACAAATGTCATCACTTTAGTGACTGTGATAATGCTACTTCACTTGAAATGCATTCAGAATTTCAAATTCCTAGTATGCAAAGTTTTCAAACCCTAAGTAGCCTGCTGTAGCTATACCTGCACTCTGAAATGAAGTTATCAGCCCTCACAACAAACATCCCTTCTCCACTTTTTTATTTATTTCTTTTTTTTTTTTTACATAAAGGACGAGAAGTGCTCCCGAACGAAAATCCATTTACAATTTTAAAAGGTTACTACAGATAAAAATGTACATTCCTTTTTCTTTGTGACCACATTTGAAGCAGGACTGTGCCTAAGCTCAGAGGATGCTGGATGTTTTACCTGCACAAGCATGACGTGTTGCCATATTTATCAGTGAAGAGTCCAAAGGCAGAGCTCAGTGGCATCAATCCTCACAATATGAGATGGGAAAGCAGTTGTTCATTGCACTCAGACCGTGGCTTGCTTGCACCTGGAATCCAGCGAGAACTCACCCTGACCTTTCATATTGCCCTGAAAAAGCTCTTCTACGCTTTTATATAAACCAAGAGACACAGAGGATGAACAGCTCTTCGGTTCTTTCATTGACTATAAAAAGCATGTTTTCTTCAAATCAATAGTTTAATAGTTATGCTAAATATAGCTGTAGCCACATTTCTTGCTTGTAATTCAGTGTAATGCTTCTGGGTACCTCAGTCATCATCTTGCTGATTTCTCTTCTGTCAACAGAACAGGAGAGTTCATAATGTTAGGCCACAGTTATCTGAAATAGGAGCACTAATAAATCATGACAAGACTTTTCAGATACAATGGATTAGACAATGACTGCGTTTCTAAGCCACTTTTTGAATGCTGAGAGATAATGTTTCCAGAAAAAGGAACAGAGTAATATCAGCCCTCTCCCTCATCCCAAACAACAAGGTTTTATTTCCAGTAAAGAACAAGATTTGCCCTGTGCATTAACTAATGGAATACACAAGGATCAGAAAGCATCATGGTGGTGGCAAGAGCCAGTGGTCAAGATGCAGGTAAACCTGCCCTCCCTTCCCTGCCTTACAAAGATGTCATGTTTTTATATCACTGTTCATCAAAGAAATAAAGAAAGTGTATTGAAAAAGGAATAACTGTTTTGGGGTTTTTCCTAATATACTTACCTTCTAACTTTTAAAGAGGTTCTTAAAAGCATTAGCTCCAGGCATTCAAAAAGTACATTTCTAATTGTATTACATTTGTATTTACATTTAAATTAGAAAAGAAAACATCTTTCTAAAAAATGAGGGAGAAAAACATCTTCAGTTAGATGTGTCAAACTACATTCATTCCTTAAATTGATAAAATCAATTGTTTTTGAAGTGATGGAGAGCAAGCTTTCATACTGATCTCACTGCAGTGAGATCAGTATGAAAGCTTGCTCTCCATCACTTCAAAAACAATTAACCCAACAATACATTTGCTGATGGCTTCATACATTACTTTTCCCATAATTACAGAATGTGTGTTAATTACAAAAGCACAGTTCCAGGGACTTCGACGTTTCCATCCGACAGGGCTGGAAGGTCAGGAATTTCTCCTGCCACTTCTTACCAGTTTAAGGAAGTCGATGAGTTTGTGAACATCCTCTCCTGTGGAAAGGTCCACAAAGTCCTTGGGCAGTCGGTAGCTCAGGTAGGGACTGGGCTGGACAGTGACTTTGCTGTTCGTGCAGCGGAAAACCGGATAATCCTTTGGGAGAGACACCAGAACGTTGTGAACTCCTCCGTGAGACTGCCTGAGTCACGCTGCCCGTGACTTTATTTGGCATTCACTCAACTCAACTTGTGCTTTCTAAAAATTGTAGTTTTTCTTCTCAAAACCTCTGCCCACTGCAGAGCAATTTAAAATGTCAAACACGTTAAACAGTCAAGTAACAGCTTTCATTGCCTCACTCTGAAGTTCCTGCAATGTATCAATTATTAATGTCTTTAATACACTGTGCTTAGAGCTACAAGGAACTTGGGGCAGCAGTAGCTACATAAGTATCTGCATAGAGAAAAAAATCTTTTGAAAGAATCCCCAAACTTTGGCTTCACGGTTTCCTTGTTTAAACCCATTTGCAACTATAACCTCACTGAAGTTATAACCTAAGCTTTCCAACCAGTTTACTTACTGAAGGAAAAAATATCTCTACAAAAGAGCCAAAAATATCTCCAAATGCTCAACTGTAGCAACAGGTTTTGGGTGATTATATAATTTTCAGCTCAACACGTTGACATGCAATTTAATTGCCCACTGTACAGCAGTAAGGAGCTTCATTTTAAAGAGAGATCAGTCACTCCACACCAGATTCTGTGATTGGATATGAGCTGAAACATGAAGATAAGTTATTCTTATCCAGGTTAAGTAATTTTCATCCAGGCTTGCACTACAGAAAACTGTGTAAAGCTCCTGGCCCAGAGAAAAAGAAATCCCAAACCAAAAATCTGGGTGTCCCACAGACAGCTCAAGAACTGGGAGTGTGTTTTGACAAAGGAGACACGGCTTTCAGCAGGAAGATTCATGGAATGGGTTTTTCATACCCTGTGAGACAGAGAAACTGGCCTGAACAACAGCCTGAGGAGCGGTGTTTCCCTGCCCATGGGCTATGGAAATGGCCACAGGACCAAAGCAAAGCTCCAAGGTTAAAATCAGCTCAAACAAAGCATGTCATTTCAGTTCCCTCTAATGCAGCTCAACAGCTAGAAAATAAAAGCCCACACGGACTCAGATGTCTCTCCTCAAGTGTTTCCCAAGATCCACTAACACGCTATTTTCCATCTCCCACCCGGCTGTGTGAGCAGTTGTTGAGCTGTGAGGACTCTTGTCTCAAGCATGAGGAAAAAGAAAAGCTGGAATATAAAAAACTAAGACTATTCCTCCCTCTCTGTATTAAAGGGAAGTTAACTTGTTTTTATGGAGGAAAGGCTGCTTGGAAGGGAGATGGAAAAGCCCTGCTCTGCAAGACCAGGGAGTTCAACCAGAGGACAGGGCTCCCTTGAGGTTATTCCAGAGGAGGGAGAGAAAGAATTTAAGCTTCTTCTGGACTCCCCCCACCAGGCAAGAAGCTGGAGATGTGGGAAAAGGTATGACAGACATCAGGAACACAACCAGAAATTTAAGGGATTATCTAGGAAAGTAATATATTATAAGAAAAATTGAAAGGAGAGAATCAGAACTGTGTAAAAGGAAGTTTCAGGGTGTCTTCTTTGCAAAGGGCTCCAAGCTGTGATATGGGCTCCTACTGTTTGATTTAAAAATTCCCTTGTAGGCATCTAAAACTAACAGGTGATACTTGTGGGGATATTAACTACTGCCTAATAAGGAAGATTCTGCTTTACAAAGAGTTTGGGTGTCATGAGTTAAGGACCTCCATTTTCTTCAAAATGAGGTTTGCATCACAATTTGATTACAAGAGCAAAAGACAGGGGAAAAAAAGGCCATAACTGCTGTTGGATGTTATGGAGCCTCCCTCACCTGCTCTGTTGCTTCCCCTTCACTCTGGTCTCCTTTCAAGTTTTTCCCAGAGGTCAGTTCTTCCCAGGTAAAGAGCAGGGAGTCTGTTACCTCACCAAAGGGGTTAAAATCTATTAACCAAATCTTACCCTGCAAAGGAACCACAGAAGAGTTAAAACAAATCACAGAATTAAAACAGAACAAAAGAACTAAAAAAAAAAAAAAATCAGAATACACAAACACTTGTATTATTACAGTATTTTTAGTCTTTAGATAAAAAGATATCAAAACAAACTACCTGGTTTTAAGCACTTTAAACAGTCTAACATCCTTTACATTATACAGTTTTAAATCACAGTAAGCTTTGACTTACTAATTTACTTTAAGTATTTTTAAAAAAAAACAAAACAAAATATCAAGTAGAGCTCAAACAAACTGCATTTAGTTCTATGCCAGGTGCTTTCAGATGAGGCCACAGAAGTTCTCTCTTATCTCCATGGTCCTCCAAGATCCCCAGACAGCAGGAACAAGGAATAAGGGAGGACACCAACAAAAACAAACAAACCTAAACCACAACCAAACAAATAAACCTAAACCACCAAAGCAAGGATTTTGGTTTCCATCAAAAGCCACCTCAGCCCTGCTGTAAATTCAGTTTTCTACAAGAATTGCTGTTGTTGGTCTCTGAAGGACTCCAAAAAACACTGAGTAGGGTCTACAAAAAGCTAATGGAGCTCCTGGAAGCACAAAGACACTCTACAAATACAGATAAATACAGAAGAACTTATAGGCATTTTTAACACAGCCATTACCAATAGTCCAGAGCAGTTTCTCGTGCCTGTACTTTAATCTTTTTGTGTTCCAAACAGCTGTGTGGTGTGCACAACAGCACTCCTGCTACACAGCTGGGAGATGAAAGCAGAGACTGGCACATTAAAGGTAACAGAGACGTGTGTGGGAGAGGAAGGAACTGTGTCCCCTGAGTCACCTCAAGAAACAACCCCCAGCACAGGGCCATCTTTCCTCACCCAAGGAACTGTCAACTATTCTAATAAAAGAAAACATTGTAATAAACTGGAATTAAATGTGACTATAGCTGCTGGTAAGACTCTGCAAAACAAGTATTCCATCTGGGAGGAATCAGTTCTATCAAATATGGAAGGAAAAGGTTGCAGTTACATAAGCAGGGCTGAAGAGTTTTACTGTGCTTATTAAAGATCAACTGGAACTGGAAAACCAGCCTGAAGATGGAAACCCCACGGAGAGAGGACAGAAGGGCTCTGGCTGCTCTGGTGCCATCCACAGCCAGTCCCTCGTGCAGGCACGGGGAGTCCCGGCGCAGATGAAAGCAGTGATATCATCTGCAAACTGGAGCTGAGCCAGCACCCCAGCAGTGGGTGTGGAGCTGCACACAGGGTGTCACAGGGCTCTCTCTCTCTCTCAGGGCAGGCCCACGGGGCACAGCAGTGGCTGTGGAGCTGCACACAGGGTGTCACAGGGTTCTCTCTCTCTCTCAGGGCAGGCCCACGGGGCACAGCAGTGGGTGTGGAGCTGCACACAGGGTGGCACAGGGCTCTCTCTCAGGGCAGGCCCACGGGGCACAGCAGTGGCTGTGGAGCTGCACACAGGGTGTCACAGGGCTCTCTCTCTCTCTCTCTCTCTCAGGGCAGGCCCACGGGGCACAGCAGTGGCTGTGGAGCTGCACACAGGGTGTCACAGGGCTCTCTCTCTCTCTCTCAGGGCAGGCCCACGGGGCACAGCTCCCACGGGGCATATTTTAAGAGGCCAAACCACGGCACCAGCAGCGCTGCAAAAGGAACTGTGAAATGAGGGGGGTCAGTCCTGAGTGGTTTCTAATTCGTTCTGGAAGGGTGAAGAAGCCCCTGGCTGAGCTGCAACACCTCTGCACTAACACTGACACCGTCAGTGCAGAGCCAAACATCTGCTGTCATTTCCCACCTTTGGTCCTCCTCAAAAGGCCAGCACAAACTCTCATTACAGGCCATGCTTTACTTTTGCTAATGGGGATGTTCTTGGTAGCTCCAAGGCAGCAGGAGGACTGATCTGGGGTTTGAGATTCACTCTATCACGCTGCAGAAACAAGCTAATGAAACTATTTAATCACAGACAGAAAGCAACGGCTGGCAAAGTTCGTTCATCAGTTCAGAGAATCTCTCCTTGGATCAGAAACAGTTATACTTAATGCTTCCCCACAAAAGTTCACAGAGATCCCTCTTCACCCCAAACACACCAAAATCAGCATTTTCACAGGAACACAAGATCATTTCTCTAGAGAAGATGTGTAACCCTGGAAAAAACTGAAGGCTGGGTTTGAGACTCCTGAAAGCAGCACTGTTTTTGTGAGCACCCAGTGGTGTTCCCTCCACCCCTGCAGGCAGCAGTGCCCCATCTACAACACCAGCTGTTTCCTTGAGAGGGTCTTAAATCTGCACTGAGCTTTGGCAGCTGCAAATTGATGAGAAGTGGCAAAACAAACTGAACATCCCTTTCCAGGGCTCATTAAAAGGAGCGTGTATAACCCTGGGTCAGTAACCAAACTGTTTTTTCTTCAGATTAAATTCGCTTTCAACTCTTCCATGCAATGTCATGATTTAAATGTAGTTTCAGATGGCTTGCACTGTTTATCTAAGGAAGAGCAGTAAAGCTGTTTATCTGCCATCTTCTGCCTGCTATTAGTAATCTTTGCTGTAAGAAATGTACAAGCCAGGAAAACAAAGTTGTGCATATCTGGAGGGAAAAAAAAAAAAACAACTTGTAATACCAAAAGATTTTTTTCTCATCCTAAAAGGAGGAACCAATAGATTTACCACCCCATGCCAGCTCCACACTTGGTTTTGCTAGAGCATCAAGCAGCACATTGCTGAAAGGAAGTGCCTATGACACAGGCTGCTTAAAGGAAGCCAAAGACAGATAAAATGCAAACTGAACTGTTACATCTCCCTAACTAACTCCAGCTGCACCTTCCTGCACAGTGACACCACTCATAAGGCAGAGACACGAGCACTGGACTGCACGTTCACCAGAGCTGTGAGCCCACAGTGGGGCTGGAGCCACTCACACCTGGGAGACAACCAAGAACAGCAGCAGAGCTGCCTCTCGGGCTCTGTCAGCTCTTGCACAGCCATCGGGAACTGCCACCCTCCAGCTCAGCCAGCAGGACCTGCGGACTCCACACAGTCCCCCCAGGAACTACGGCAAGCACAGGAGGGACGCTGCTCTAACTCACGGCCACATCAAACAACAAGCTGCTCCTCCAAGCTGAATATTCAAGAGTTGGAAGTGTTTAAAACAAGCAGACAGTGGACATTTGTCTCGTTCTGTAGGTGAGGTTGCCGTGCAACCAGCGCGATGAGGAGCAGGGGCTCTGGAAATGAATCACGCTGCCAAACACGCGGTGTTCTCTCGCTGCCCGTAACTCGCACACAAAGGGAGCGATGAATAAATAAATAAGGCGGTTGCAAACCACACAAGTACGTGTGAAAGGAGGAGGAGCTGACACACAAAGGGCTATCTGGCAGTTTACAAAACCCGAGGGTAACAGGCACCGAGAGAAGTCTACAAACAGATATATTTTATCTTGATAGATGAAGAAACGCTGCTCACTTGAGATCCCACGGGCTGAAAGCTTTTACTTCAATAATCTCTTTTCGTGCCTCAGCTGTGAGGCAGAGAACCCACCAGCAGAGTCTGGTTCAGTGCTGGAGTGCTGCTCCTCATTTTCCCTGGCAGCATCCTCTGTCTGAGGAGCTGAGCCTGGGCAGGTAATTTTCCTTACAGAGTGGCTGTTCCCAGCCCCCACCCTGGATTTAGGTATCTACATTAAAAGCTGTGCTGAGAAACAGTACACTAGTTTTTTTTCCACATGAGGCACCATCCTGTTTAGTTTCTGTTTTGTGAGCTATGGGCATGATTTACTATTAAACTATTCCAAAATAGCTTAGCAACAGTCAAACTCAGAATCAGGACTTGCTACCAATACTCCCAACTCAACTCAAATAAAGACTCTCTCCAATCCCTTAACTTTAAACATGCTAAACAGTGAGACCCAGAAATGCAGAGAACAAAAGTCTATAGCCATTGTTTTTGCATTTCTGGTTTAGGATTTGGGAAAAAAAAATTAAGCTAAACACTTAATTTTCACACACTAATGTGATTCTCAAAATCAGGCTGTGATTCCCTACATCAGGTTTTCAGATTTAAGGCTAGAAAATGCATTTTTTGTTGTAGTTCCTTTTAAAACAATATATGTGTGCCTTTCAAGCACAATTCATCTGACCAAGTATTTCTCTCCACTGCCTCTGGGAGAAGTCAAGGTGACTAATCCTGACACTGGCACGTGAAGTTCATAGAATTGTTAAGGTTGGAAAAGACCTTTAAGATCATAAATTCCAACCTTTAACCCAGCACCACTGTGGTCACCACTAAACCACATCCCTAAGTGCCACATCTGTGTCTTTTAAATATTTGAGATGGAACGTTTCTCCCCAGCTCCATCACCATTTGGGTGTCCGGGGTTCTGATCTGCCCAGCTCTCAGAACCACAGCTGGAGCAGCTGGAAAAATAAAAATCAGCTTCCATCTGTCACAAACTGGATGTGCCACATTCATATTCCCTTTTCAGAGTTATCCCTTGATATACCTAGGCTTCCATAGGTGAAGCACACGTTACCATTTTCCCACCTCACATGGATAATCTGCAAGAAGTGTTAATGAGTTTCGATGGGTTCAGATGCTACAGGGGAAAATAACACATGGGGGAAAAAAATAAAGCCCAGGGAAATAGCTATTTTAAAAGAAAACACCCCAAATCTGTTTGTGTTTAAGAGATATTTGGACAATGCCCTTATTCAAAGAGTCACAGAATATCCTGAGCTGGAAGGGACCCACAAGGACCATCAAGTCCAGCTCCTGGCCCTGCACAGGACAGCCCCAAGAATCCCACCACGTGCCTGAGAGCATTGTCCATAACGTGCTTTAATTTCTGGTCAGCCCTGAACTGTTCAGGCAGTTGGACTCAATGATTGTTCCAACTGAAATAGTCTATTCAGCTCTAAATTGCTGCAGCAAAGACTCTCCATGTCCTGATGAAAACTAAGCTGCCTCCAGTAGATTCCACAGAACCGACAGAATTGCAGCTGAAGCCAAAGTTCTTTGCTTAAGGACTGACAGCTTCTCTGGAAGATACTAATAATCTGGAAGATGGTAAATAATTCACTGGTACAAACATATTTATACCCCTAATCCTATTATTCTCCTACTGTAAACAGAGCTTAACATAGAAAAAGACCTGTGGAAAAGAATAACATCAAATAGGTTTGGGGGGTTTTTTGTTTGGTTTGGTTTTATCTTTTGGTGAATTTTTTTTGTTTGGTTGGGTTTTTGTGTTTGTTTTTGTTTTTGTTTTTTCCCCAAAACCACTTCTAGGAAGACAAAGCTCTTACTTGCTTCATCTCAGCATTTCAGGGTTTTCACAGAATAAACAATTATATACAACCTATTGTTCACTTACCCTGCTGTCTCTGTACACATCAAACACAACTGAAAAGGAGAAAAAAAGTGTTAATCTTCAACGATACATATTTCACCAAAGACATCTAAATCTGAATAGATACTTGTGTACACAGCACAATCTGCAAAGTCAATATGTCTCAAGAACTGCACGCCAGAATTAGGTTCATTTCCAAGAGGGAGCTGAAGCATTTCAGACCTGCTGTTAATGCACTGGGAGATTGGCTGCTGGGTTTTTCCATTTAATGCTGGTTTCCTCTGTTGATTTTTCCCCCCAGTGAAGACCATTTGATAGGCTCTAAGCCCAGAGAGAAGCTTATCTTCGACATTGCTGCTGTGTCATTTGCAGCAGAGTGGAGACATTTCAAGGAAGGATCAAGACTCCACCGAGTTGGACACTGCACAACCATTTAACAAGAGAAAGTTCCTGCTTGAGGGAGATCAGGCCTTCAGCAGCTAAGAAGACAAACAGGTTGTAGAACAAAGGGGTGGGTGCCTGTTTGATGTAACCCAGAGCAGACACAGAACACGTCCTGATTACCAAGGGCTCCTTCAAACAGCCCCCTGGAGGCGGTGACTGACACGAAGCTCTTGCTCTTCCTCCCCTTGGCTTAATGAAACATGAACCTCTGTACATGCAGCTTTCTATCAGCTGCTGTCCTGTGTGCTTAAACAAATCCTTGAGCTGCCTTTCTATTGAGCCAGGGAAATCCACAGATAAGCCTTCAGGGCATGGCCACATGCAAAAGTTGTACCAGTTTAGCAGGAAGAAAAGGAAAAAAAAAAATAAAATTGAAAGCTTAAAAAAGCCTCAGACAAATGCTGTATTGTCACTTCCTTCATGAATAAGGAAGGGAATATTTCAGCTAAGAGATTTCCCAATACATGTGGATAAACTAAACTCAGGATATGACTGCAGAACACTTGAGTCTCAGGAAGCTGCCCATCAGGAACAGGGAATGTTGATTGATCACGTCCACGCACGTAAGGCTCGATCTGACATTTCGTGTGAGGTTGGCTGGGCTAAGGGCAAACCACAACTCCACAAAGCCAAAGCCAGGCACGTATCTGGCTCTGCCCACCCAGCCTAAACATCCACAGAGCTCTGGCACGAGCTCCGTTGCGTCAATTTACATCACTCGAGGATTAAGTGCTCTGCTTTCTCAGGGAGAGAAGCCCTCAGTGGCTGATCCAGCCATCAGCGCAAGGAGGAGAACAGCAACCCCAGGACTGCTTCAGGACACTGAACAGAGAAGAAAACCTGAACTCTTCCCTCTCCTCAGGGGTCACCTCAGAGCAGGACTGTCCTGTGCCAGTGAGGCTGGAGTTAAACCTCACCAGAACCTGCTCACACGGAGGGCAAGCCAAGGCCCAGCTCTCAGCAAGTGCCGGTACCTCCAGAGCACTGTGTTCCTGGGCTCTTAGGAAAGGTATTTAGAAGGTTCTAACATAATTTAGAAGTATTTATAAAGCAGTCACCCATCTGTTATCCCACTGCTCTGACTCTGCAATGCTTCAGCTGCTCTGACTCAACTCTTCCATCTGGAGATGCTACCAGACCAACTGGAAAAAGCAGAGCAAACAGCATCAAAATCCCCAACGAAACAAGAAGTCAGGAAAAAAAAGCTGTAATACCTTTCCTTTTAAAAGCAAACAAACAAGCAGAGCCAGATTTTATCGTTAACAACACATATGCTACCAGATAAGGGAGATGATGAGGGGTAAATGAAAGGGGGTAAAAGAAACCCCACAAAAAAACCAGAAAATATTTTCTGCATGACATTTCTCTGCAGATGGACCTGCATTTAGCGCCTCAGAACAAAAGGTTAACAAACCTTCATCCCAGAAGGTCACCCTGAAACCTCCTTTTCCCAGAAGAAGGTAACTCAGATGCCATCCTTTACATAAGATGACACTTCAGACCTTTCAGTTCACCAGGCAGCAATTTCAGAGCCTAAATCTAGGCATCAATTTCCAAAAATAGTGCCCTGAATTCTTATCTATCAGTTGATTACATACCAGCTAAAATTACATCGGAACACAGAGGAAAATTAAAAGACAGTAATCAGAATGTCAGATCTATAAGACTGATCTTAATTCAAAACACAAGGCTCTGGACCTATTAAATTAGTGTACTGATTTCCAGACTGCTACTCTTCTCCAAGAAGTGGTCCTTGAGAACTTCTGTGGACAGAAATAAAGGAACCCTGCAGGGTTAAATTATTAAGAATTCTGATATAACAGATCACAGCACTAGAAGGTATCTTTTTCACACAGTCAGAGAGGACAGATCTACTTGACTGCCCTGGTGGCTCAGCAAAACAACTAACCATGTTCAAAACTTACCTGAAGGTTGAATTTTCAAAGCTTTAGAGAAGACAACACAACTACCAGACAATTCCTCTGTTTATGTATTTTACTCAGCTGAGGTTTGGTCCATGCCAGACCCAATTTAAATTTCTTCCCCGTGTCTTTCACCACGACTGATCACCCATCACAATGGAACAGTATCCTATTCTCACTAAACCATGTCAGGAAACTATTGGCCAGTAGAATTTGTGAAGGACTTCACTTTTAAAGAACAAGACAATTTACTTGGGTGTATCAAACACTGTGGCCTTTACTCAAAAGGTTCGGCACCTAGACCGGTGTGCATTAATATTCCAGGAGAAATTACTCCAACTTCTTGAAAAGAAACTTAAAAATACTTTATTCAAGAAATACGCCAATAATTTAGCAGCAAATATCTGACAACATCTTCATAAACAAGTATTCTTCTTACTACTAAATGCCTTTTGTCAAGCATCTCCCACTTTACTTCTCAGGTGTAAAATTTTTAAGTATAATGGGAAAACACCTTAAAAAAAAATCATTATGCCTTTTGAAGGGATCTTTCACTCATTTACTGTGTTTTTCTGAAGAGCTCCAGCCTGTTCCTTCAGGGGTTTTTTTGCTGCCAGTTTTACAGCCACTCCAAACCCTCGCTCCTCCTGATCCCAAAGCCACAAGAGCTGCAAGACTCTCCCAAGTTAAACAGGCCCAAGCCCTGGGAAAGCAACAGCTGTGAAGAGAGGGATGCACATCCACAGATAATCCTTAAGATACTCACAGTCCTCATCCAAGAATTTATACTGTATGTGTTTCTGGAAGAACTCCTGGATGGCTCTGCAGATGTCCTCGTGTTGCTTGGAGATGTGGTCGTAGTACTGGGTGTAGTCCCTCTGGGATATACCTGTCAATGAGTTCAGCTGATTATAAAAGGCTCTAGGCATGAAAAAAAACCAACCTGAAAAAATGCAGTTATCAGGCACGTGCATGTGATCATTTCTATTTCAGAAGATGAGGTTCTTCCAGGTCTCAACCATCACCAATGACTGACTGTTTAGCTTTATTCTCCTGTATTGAAAGTACTTCCATTAGGAATCTTGTCCTTGAACAGCCCTGTCCTACATTTTCTATGCACACCCTTTGAACTCTTTTGAAGTGAATTCCAGGAGGAACATTCACCTCTGTTTAAGTTTCCAGTTCCTGTCTTTTCCTCTCAGTTTTATGCCCTCTTGGTTACCGAGGTCAAAACCCTTGTTCTGCACATCAGAGGCAGGGACCACAATTTGGAACCATGAAATGAGAGAGGGAGAGGCTGAGCTTGCACATCAGCAAGGATGATGGATCCTAGTGGACCACAGATTCTCACTGAATCGATTTTTGAATAGCAAGTGCTTGTCTGATGAGGCACTACAGGTGAAACCTTAAATCTCCAAATCAATGACATGGCACACAGTCAAGTGCCTTGCTGCTCTCATTTACCCCCTCAGGGGCTTTCTGGCCTATCTGACACTTGATAAACTATCCCAGCTACATCACAAACTCTTTAATTTCAGACACTTGTTGTTCCACAAGACAATAGTTTACAATGACATCAGCAGGATCAGACACTTGCATCCACCCTGAGTGACAGTTCTCATGCAGGATGTGTCAGCACAGGCCATTGCCATGCCCTGCTTCACAAATGCCAAACCCAAGAGCTGCCCCATCGCTGCAGAACGAGTAACCAGGCTCCTTACATACAGAAGAAGCCAGAATCCCCCCCAAAAACATTTATCCACGATGTCAGTTTGCTATTTTAGCCACATACAAAACACAGATTGTTTTACTGTAAGACAATCCCTCCAAAGATGTGCTCTTTTTAAAAAAGTTCATACAGAGAGTTTATGATGTCAGTGGAACTTGGACTTTTTAACACCACTGCAAAGCTGAAGCTGAGTCTAAAAAACAAAAAACCAAGAGGTGATGGCATCTCAGGGGAGGCAGATGTGTAACTGGAAAATCATTCACCACACTGCAACTATCACTCCTTAGTTTGACTGACAGGTTCATTAATTTTAAGAGCATGGGAACACATTGTGAAAAATCTTGGAACTATCTTCAGAAATGCAGCTGGAGTGCTAGCTAAAAAAAAAACATATTAGCAGATCTACAGTTTCAAATCCTAGTCATGAAATGTACAGTGTTCAATTAGCCAGTGTACAAATGCTTTGAGGCATTTGAAAATAAATATTACTATATATATATTCTATAACAAAACTAAATTCAAATGTTTTAGAGGTTATCACAGTGATGTGTATCTCTGGCAGTTGTGGTGCTCACAGCAGCACAGGACAGGACAGGGTTCAGCTCTTCTCCCCTCAAAAAGCTCTGCCAGTGGCCATTGAGCAATCCTGACCCAATGGACAATCCCTGCTAACAGCTCAGATAAACTCTGTCACAGAGAACTGTAACAAACCTGCACTTGGCATAAATGGAGAGAGAATGGGAAGAGAAGTGTAGGAGCACCAGAAGAAACAGCCAAACAAAAGGGCTTAGGTAAAAAAAGGCACATCCAGAACAAGCCCACAGTCACCACGCTGAGAGGAAGACAGGAAAAACAATGAGGACTACACAGCTAACAGCCCTTGCCTTCCACATCATCCCAAGGTATCCTGGATGGATCACCTGTAGACATGGAGCTTGTGAATATGTAGGTATGAGACAGACAAAATGAGCAAACCTGGTTTTATCTTAAAGCAAAAAAAAAAAAAAATCACCTTCCTTCCTGCAAAGTCTGGATTTGCTTCATCACTGCTGCAACATTTCCTTGTTGGAAGAGTTCAGGCAGAAATGATTCAACCTTGGTAAGTAAATGTGCACCAGCCCTGTGCTATTTGCATTTCTGTTCATCTCTAAAGATTCCATGGTAGACCACACCAAAACCAAATTCAAACTCCACAGTAGTACTTAGCCTGAAATCATACCACTCAATTCAAGCACCTGGCTGTGCACTGGATGTCTCAGCTCCTGCTGTAGTCAACAGAGAATAATCTACACGACCAGAGGAGTGCAATTCAGCTAAATTTACCCTCAGTTACTCTGGAGCTGCCTAAAATACGTGCTCTAGCACAACCTGCCTGTTCTCCAGCTGCCAGAGGTCTCCCAGTGTGCCCACCAGCTCTTTGCATGCCGGGGATACCCTGGTTGTTCAGTGCCACTTGAAATGTTTTACATTTAGGACTTGGAACCAGAGGAACAGAACAACAGGTTTTCTGATTAAGCTACGCTGATCATAACATGAACTCAGACACCTCAGGCACCTGTGGAGATGTTCTGACCTCCCCAGCTTTCTGCATGTAGTATCCACATGGGGTCGTGTCTTAGCAGCACAACACACAATTGGCTCTGTATTCACGCTGCAATTCGCTCCTGAATATAAAAGAATCACTCACAAAACAGCCTCTGGGTGAAGCCTCTGAATTAACAATTAAATTAAGAATATTCTCCCTGCAATGGTGAGCGTGCTGTGCTGTCAGGCTTTCAAATGCAATGGATAGAGAAATGTGGCACGCCACACTTTAAATTACAGGAAGGAGAAACCATTAATTTCAGAAATGAGGTGTGACAAGCAAGACCTGTCTTCAGATTTAGCTCTCATTCAAGGAATCAGAGAAACTACTCAGAACTTCATCTAATAAATTTGTCTAAGAACATCCTTACCTAGAAGCTTGTTTTCCTTGACAAAACACCTGAATTCTGCACCAGGGATTAGTTCACACCATTTGCGAAGAACAAGCTGTAGAGGGAAAAGAAATAACAAAATATTATCATCTCAGAAAGGTAACAGGTGACTTTTTGTCAACACATCTACATCTACAGTTCTGCTGTAGTGGTAAATGACCTACAACAAAAGAAAGCAAAACAATCTTAACCCGCAGTTCACATAATCATTTTAGCAAATCCTTCCAAGCAATTAGACCTAATATCCATTTCAGAGAATGACAGGATGCTTTCAGTTGGAAGGCACCTCTAAAGACCATCTAGTCCAAACTAGTCTAAAGCAGAAAGATTCCCACTGCACACAAGAAATGTTTTCCCCATGAGCACTGTCAGGCACTGGAACAGCTCCCTCATGGAGGTTGTGCAGCCTCCACCCACGGAGCTTTTCAGACCAGGCTTGATAAAATGCCAAGCAAGCCAATCTGAACTCTTACCTGGCTTTGAGCATGAGAATGAACTAAAGACCTCCTGAGGCCCCTACCGACCTTAATTAATCATCTCATGCTCTTCCCCAGTATTTATAACCGTCAAATCGTTTATGAATCAACTTCCAAGTTACATTACTGATAAAGCATGGAAAATAAAAACCCTGCTGTACAACACAACAGCTCTGTCATGGAATTGGCAGAAAGTTGCTCCCCAGTCAAAGGAGCTGATGAGCAGAATTAAATTTATCCAAATCAACCTCTATTCTGGTACACACCCAAGCAGAGCTCTGTGACGCCTTTGAAGGCACAAACCAGTTAAAACAAGGACACGGGACAGAAATAGAAAGCAAACTATTATAGTCCATAGGACAGACTGCCTGGTAATTAAAGCATCTCTCTGGCACTTCCTCAAGTTTCTGCATTTCCTAAGCTGAAGTATTCGGAAGGATCCATTTTTTTGAAGGCCCCAGTTACTGCTACTGGATAATGGAAACTCCCAACACCCCTGGACTGCAGCAGAAAAACGTCAGTAATCAGAGATGACATTCCTAACTACTCTGTAAACATGGAACTCTTTGTTCCAGCTTTCACATGTCCTGTATCTTTAAAGCAAACTTGATAGTGCTTTAAAAAAAATAAAATAAAAGGGTTCATTCACTTTTCCAAAGTCCTTTAAGCCCACAAGATGATGACAAATGTTATATTTACATAAAGGCTATTATTAGAGAGATGACTAGATGTTGCCATAAAAGCAGTAGCTCCATGCTCACAGTTTAAAGCATGTCTAGCTGAACATTTTAATCTGGTAACAAACATATGAAACAAGATATGACAGAACAGTTCAGTGCAGGGTGTCCCCAGCCACTGCAGCGAGTTTTCCCCTCAGTAACCTCAGGGTGATGTTCACAAGCAGCACACCATCAAGAATTTATGGCTTTCAGCTACTCAGCTTGTCCTTCCTGTCAAAAAGCTACTCAGCCCATCCCTCCTGACAGACGTGAGAGGAAATTGCCAGGAAGCTTCACAAGGCTGCACTGGAGCTCACCTGATCTGCAGTTAAATGAACTCCTTCCGACCCGCAGTGCTTACCCAGACTCCCCCTCACGGCGCCAGCAACGCCGATAAAACAAACACGACACGTTTTAGGGACGTGCACCCAGGCACAAACGGCACCCAGGCCGTGAGCATTCTGTTCAAATTAGTTAGGAATCATGCAAAGAGTCCTACCTCATAGTTCAGGGAAGGATCGGGGGAATCATCAGTACAGTGAATAAACCTGGAAAAGCAAGGCACGGGCATCAAAATCTGCTTTACGTGTAATATTTTAGCCACAGTGAGAAAAATAACCCCAAACTGAGAATCACAAAAACTACTGTTAAACTGTTTCCAATATGTAAAACCCAAGTAAATGCAATACATTAATAACAAACCTCCTTCTGACAATTAATGGGGGGAGAAGGGGGAAAATCACCTCTTTTCTTCTCCTGCAATTTGGAAGCACTTAAATCTGGACAGGGGCAAGGCCAAAACGTGAGTGTTTATTCACTATTGATTTATTTCGGTTTGAATCAATAGTGCTGCTCCTTTCCCTTTGCATCGTTATGTTGGTATAACTGAAATCTCAAAGAACCAGATAAACTTGAGCAATCTAATCCAGTTTCATTGCAGCATGTTTTCCCCAGTACTTTTAATGTTTAACTTCCCAAAGCACACAACAGAGACACATCATCGTGCCTTGCAGCAGCTCATTTCCATGAATAAAGGATGCAAAACAGCGCTGCTGCTCAGCACTTCTGATTCCACAGCACAGGATCTTTCTAAATTAAGAGCCTTAAGAAATACTCTTACAAATCTCTTGAGAGAGAGGGAATAAACAAAACTATTTCCATAACTGCAAGCAGATGTCAAGGTTTTGTCCCTTGTGAGTAGCTGACTCTGTGTGTCTCCTTTCAGACACTATCAAGAATGGAGGCAGTCATAACCCAAGTTAACTTCCATGTGCCTCTTACAGCAAACCTTGCAATAAATTCTGTAACTTCCAGAGGGAATTTGCAGCAGAACGTGCATTTTCCTTCCAGTTCTACTCCCCGACCTTCTTGGCAACCAACTCCTCAGGCGCACAGAACTGTGCAAAGGGTCACTGCTGAGCAAGAGTCCTAAATGCAACATTTATCCCATCTCCTCTTGGCAGGGAACTTCACTGAGCAACCCAAAAGTGTCCCCTGTCTCCCATAAGCACTGTGTGTGTAAGTCCTGGCTGCCCATGGAAGCGAAGTGCGACTGTAAGAGCTCGTTCTGGGAGCTGCCAGCAGAAATCCACTTCACACATTTTAGTCTAGACTTTATTATCCACAACACCCAGAAAAGTAGGGCAGTAGCTTTCCAAAAGCTCTGTGATCAAACACATCATATATATCTGTGAGCCTGTGTAAACAGATAACATCCTTCAGCTCGAGTTTGGATTCCCTGCAGTTTAAGATCCGTCGAGGCAAGAGAAACAAAACCGTGAGAGCTCACAGTTTTGAGGCTCAGAATTCCTCCCTTACTAGAATATACGCCTGAGGAAAACATCCCCCCCACACACACACACAAAGCAAAAATAAACAATATATAAAAAGGCAGCCAAAGTCCAGCACAGGGGGTTTACAGTCTCTGCACACTCTGACCTGCACTGCCTCTCAGACTTCCCTACCTGAGAGTGGGGTACCTGCAATCTGCTTCAGTCCTACAACACACAGGCTTTTCCAGCACTCAGAAAACTCCAGCCTGATGAACAATCAAAACTATCTCCTAACTCAACCCTCAGATGTTTTGGACAAGAGCTGTGTGGGGAAAGACACTTCCTCTTTCCTTGTAAGTCAGAACATGAAATCCTTGGGTGCCACCCCAAGGATTTGTCAGCAAAAGCACATTACTACCATCCTGTTCTGGGCTTAAATTTTGGGCAACTTGAGGCTGCAATTTTATAGTTTTTATCAGCTCATTGCAGCATTAATTGTTTAGACCCATCTGAGCTAATCTGTTACAGGTGGCCCTTTGATCTCCAGAGGCAAAAGACTAGTTGGGTTTTTTTTAACCCACATCCTACTCGGCTCTGGAGGTACTTGAAAGAACAATCAGAAAGACTTCAGGAAACCCAAATTGAGACACATTCGGGCTGTATTTTCTGAAACCTCTGAAAACTGTCATTTTGACTACTGTTAAGGGTGAAGGGATCAAACTCTTCTGCTTACAGGCCTGTGCTGTGGTCAACAGCTTGTTTACAGATTTATACTTAAATCTTATCCTTACAGATTTATACTGTCAAGAGCAGAAGGATCAAGGTCTCTTTTCATGCAGCAGTTGGATTAAAACTCTAAATGCATATTCTCGACCACAGGACATACTAAGCCACTGTGTAGTTCAGTTCTCAACACTGAGAAGAGCAATTTCAAGAAAGTTTGCAATATCCCCAGTACCCACCCTGCTAAGAAAGCCATGAACTCATTTGCAAATCACTGAGGGTATTCTGTGGATAATTAGGAATTATTACGAATATGATGAGAATTGTAAAATTTATTCTGTACCTGACACTTCCCTGCTATCATCTCATAGCTTATTTTAAAACCTTAATTAAAAAAAGAAAAAAAAAATCAAAGGAGAAACTTCTAACAGCCTTTGAACTGTATCTTTATTCCTTGAATATTGAACCTTCCTGAAACTTAAAGGACTAAAAGAAATAGGAAATTCAAGCACCATTCAAAAGAGGATCTTTTACCACACTGTAAATTGCTCAGAAGAACGGGGTGAGAGTAAAACCTCAAGAAAAATAAAAAATCATCATCAAAGGCCTCATTTTCTACCTCCTCTCATGTGTAACTGCCTTCCTTGAAACAGGTTAAATTAAAGCCTGAGCCAACAGCTTCTGTTCTGGCTATTGGAGTGCCAAGGCACATCTTCATGATCCAACACTGCCTCCTGTGTTCTGCTGGGAGAACACAGGCTGCTCCTCCACATCTCAGGAAAGCTTCATCATTTCTTTAGAGTTCAGTATTGAGAGCCCTCTGATAAACACCTAAATAAATTTTAAAAATGTGCCTCGTGCCGACTCTCTGTCCTAAGTCAAAGGGCAGGCCCTGCAAAAGAAGTTCTCTGCATTGCTTTGCTAAAATCACCAGACTTATTTCACTTCTGTGGTTGTGATTATTAAACAACTGGAAAAATAAAGAACTCTCTAGCATTTAGAACAGGGACAATCTCTGAAACATTTGTACGGTTTATTAATGAGCACGATATCAGCCTTATCTTCTAATTGAAGGGCCATTATCACATCATTAGAAATATTGCTCATTTCTGCCAGTCTCAAGGTGGGCAATCACTCATGTTTTAATAAGACATAGTCCACCCATTCTGACTTCTTCTAAGGAAGAAAACTGTGTTCTAAACCAAAACACCCATCAAGGCTTTAAAGGGATTTTTGCTGAAAAGAGGAGTTTTAATCCCTCATCAGAAAACCCACTTAGAAAGGGATTTTTTTTTTTTTAATCACACATCCACAACGCTAAGTTTCTGAAAGGCCAGATTAAAAGCTGAAAAGTTAAGGATCACACCACCCACGAGATTTTTTGTGAACAATGTACAGACTGATAGCAGGGAGGCAAACAGGGAATGGGAGAGGAAGGAAAGGCAATGTAAGAGGTTTGCCTCAAGTCTCACATCACTGGCTTCAATTTCTGGGTTAAAAACCAGATCTGCAAATTACCAGTGGAAAATGTTTACCATATCATGACCCATGAAGCAGATTTTTAAGTTCATACAATTGAAGAGAAAACAAAACAACAACAAAAAGGGTAAACAGCATTTCAGCTGTTACTTATGCGAGGCAAGAAACTTTTAGACCATGCTGAGAATTAATGAAAGAAGCAGAAATAAAATGCATTTATCCTCCCTCCAAGTAGCCCTTCCAAGGGATTTGGATGTATTATGTATGCAATTTTCATTTGTTCAGCACTTCAGGTTCTTATGCCAGCTATATTTTTAATTTCTGCTTGGTAAGGGCTAGGAAACTGGCAGCCAATCAATAGTATAATTAAGGAAGACCACTGTTCTGATTTAGCAATAATCATTCCACTGTTTGGGGACATTTTGTACCAATAACTTAGTAATTTAGAAATACCATGCACAGACTGGACAATAATACGTGCTTTGATCAAGTACAAAATATTCATAAAATATAAGACACACAGAGATCAGGGTGATTTACCACAATCCTGTCACAACCTTTACTTATTGACCACCCACTAGGTGAGCTGTGCTGATCTGCTGGGGGTGTGGTCTCATCAGGACAAGGATCTCTAAATGGACTGTGCCCCTGCAGTTCGAGGTGTTGCCTTTCTGCTGGAGGTTCTTCTCCCACAGCAGGGGCAGCAGAAGGGACTGTGCCTGTTCCAGGCTGCTCAGGCTGCTCTTAGGCTGGGGTGAACTTCAGGAGAAACCACCGACGGTTGGAGGTGACACCCACGCTGGGAATTCTCACACTACGGGAACCAGAACGTCCTCACTGCCTCCACCAGCAGGTCTGTGCTGGCTGCAGAGGGCAAGGGGAACAGCTCAGGCACTCACACCTGACTGGAGATGAAACCTGCCAGAAAATGCCCTGATTTCACTGTCAGTGAAGGTGGCTGGATCAGTTCACTCTGCCACACAAATGAACACACACACAGAGCTGCCACCCTTCAAGTGGGATCTGCTGAACACTGGGTTGCCAAGGAGCTCAGGGTACTTTTTGCTGAACCTCTTTATACATGAGGATGGTAGAATACAAGACCTGTGTTATTTAACAGTCACAAAGGGTTGATACAAAGTGTGCAGTTCTTTGCAGATGCACAAAACCCAGTCCTGAAACCATTACAACAAAGGAGATGTTAAATTTTAGCACTCAACCCTCTGAGAAGCCATCCCCCAAGAGAGCCCACTTCTCCTTTAGAGGAAACCATGAAAAGCAGCTCCTTGGTGAGGCACCAAAGTGTTCTGAGAATCACTATTTACTCACCTCTGAAATGTAAACTACAGATTTCTCACCTCCCCATCCCTTTCATTCTCTGTGATCCCAGAATCAGGAATTCTCAATCTCACAGCTGGCTCCCGAGCCCAACATACTTTACAAACTGTCTTCTCACTCCAGCATCTTCTCCCCTCCTCCTCAGACTCTTCTCCTGCACCTCACAAGGCTGCAGGTTAGACAGGACATCAAACCCACCACCAGAACTGGCCTGGCAGCCTCACTAGCACTCCAGAAATGCAGAGATAAGGACGAGGTGCTGCTGCCTATCCCTTCTTGGGTTTTTATCTATCAACAAAGTGGGAAAGAGAGCTGCAGGAATAATAAAGAAGGCAGTTGCATGGCATTAATGCAGCTGGTTTCACACTTTGAACAAGAACATTTCTGTCAAGTCATAAACCACTTGACAAAGGGACCCTTACTCTTGGTAACCCCTCCCTAAGGCACCCAGAGCAAGGATTCTGCATTTGACTGAGTCTCCTAAATATTGCAGTAACAGAAATAAGTGCTGACTAACTACTGGAAAACAAGCTCTCAGATAGCAAGCCATGGATTGCCCTTTCTCTTTGAAATTCTGTTTGTCTGAAAAAAAATAAAATAGTATTATAGTAACAGCAGTATTAAACTCCAGGAATTTCATTTTCTCTCAGAAGAATGCTGTATTTTAGAAATGAGTGAAATAAATCAATCAGATGCAGGTACTACAGGAGGAAACTGCTCCTGTACAATTTTCACGTGAGCAGATAAAAGCACATCATGTTTGTAATTTTATCTGTAACTTTCCTCAGTCACAGGTCCTGGAATGCATTTGTTGCAAGAGGTGTGAGAACCTGGGTTCAGAAGGAGCTCTAAAAATATGTTAGCAGAAGTTTCAGGCCTCTTCCAGGCAGCCACACAAACCTCAACAGCTTTGAAACTTGAAAGGCACGTGGTGTGGAAAGCAAGTCAGTAAAAATGGTCTTAGCCCACAGTGTCATTTTGCACGTGCTACTTTAACATCTCCCTGCTCTGCCTTTTTTTTTTTTCTTTGGCTGGGTATAAATAATTCTGTCACCAGAAATGTTACTCACGGCTGAGTGAGGTCACGAGTAATGAAGTCTGAACTCTTGAAGAGGAGGAAGATGTCACTGAGAGCTTTGCATTTCAGAGAGCTGTTCATTGCTATCCAGTAGGCATCCTAAACAAAGCAGGAGATCAGCCAGAAATGCACCTTTACCAGCAGGAAGGAAGGCAGCTGAAGATGGATCTGAATATTACACAATATTTGAAATACACACAGAAAATTGTTGGTTTTTTTTATTTTGGGGAAAACTTCATTAGCTGTTACAAGAGACACAATAGTTACTGGTTTTCTTACAAATACCATGTTGAAAGCAGAGTAAACCCATTTTAAAACCTAAGTTTTTGCCTTACTGCTTCCAGGAGCTTTCCTGGAATGCCTGATTGAACACAGTGTCTCTTGAGAACATGATACAGCAATATTTGGGGGAATTCATCCCTGTGGTATAGTTTGAGGACCTAAATATAACTGGAGGGAAGTTTACTGCCTTCTTTAAAAATGTGGGGTTTTTCATCTTCACCCCAGGCAGTTTTCAGCCAGTACCCTGAATAAGAAGAGCCTGACCATCACACTGTATCTGTGATCAGGACACAGGGTTTTAGGTGAGGAAGTCAGTGCTGCCTTACATCACCAAACCTGCACCACCACCACCTGCTCTTAACCCACCACACCAGTTTGCTCTGTCACACTCCACTGGTATCTTGTCTATCACTTCTTCCTTTATCAGAACCACTCATCTGTTCTTCTTTCCAATGCATTGAGATCAAACAAACAAACAAACAAACATCCACCTGACAACATCTGTTACAAGTTTTGGGAGTCACCATTCTTACCCTTGGAGCACTCCAGTTAAGTTTAGGAAAAACACTTCCACCCAAGGAACTTATTGCTTCCTCAACTTTAGATGTGAACTCAGGGAATTCTGGTGCCTAAACGAAATAAAACAACAAAAATATTGATTTCAAGACATTTAATAGTGAAGTGGAGCCATCTTCTAAATACCACTAGAAATACATACTGCAGAAGAAATAAACATGTCCCAAATCAGCAGGACCCCCCCCTAAAAAATAATGTCTCTGTGGAAATAAATTACTTAATAAACAAATCTGACATTCTTTCAGTCAGAGAAAACTGAAAATGTTTCTAGTTCTGACTCTCATCACTAACAGGTACCAGGAACTTCAGGAGAAAACCCGAAACTTTGTAACACTGATCACAAAATCTGCAACAAATGTCAAAGAAACAAACGTTAATTACTTACCTATTGTTTCATACTGGATGGTAGATTATTGTATACAAATATGGTCCAATAATATTTAGACTTAAAAAGTTATTTTAGAATTAAGCATCTCTATCAACTCACAGGCAATTTGAGTAACAGCTCCTCATTTAAGCTTTAGTTTTATAAAACCTTGTTAGTAATACTTTAACTGATCAGCTCTTAAATTAGGCCTTAACAATATATTGACTCAAAACAGAGGACACACTGCAAAGGCTGAACCAGGAAACCCTGCCTTGTAAAGAACATTAAACACATAAGATGAGGGGGGAAAATTCCTCAGGATGCTCTGAACTCCACTCAGAATGTGGTGCTATAGAAAGAAACCTTGTTGACCTTTAAAATCATGTGAAAGGATTTTGAGCAGTTGTATCAGAGATTTTTCATGTGATAAGATTTATAGCAAGAATACTGCCTGAGTACTTTTAAACTCAACTCAAAGATAACTTCTAGGCCAAAGGTAACTGATGTCTCTAAAACAACAAAGCCCTCACAGTCACACAAGTGATCAAAAAAACCTCGTGCCTTTTGGCATCTCCTTAACTGCAGCCTCCCCAGATGCAAACACTTGAAAAACCCTCTCACATTTTAGTGCAGTGACCTGGACTGAACTTCAAATATTCTGAACTTTTCCTTGGTACATCACCTGGTCTCCCTTGGAAGCTACACTTGGAAAACTGGAAAAAAGTGCTTCTCTTATTTTTCTTTGTGTTTAGAGCTTCCTGGATTCAAATTCTTCCTCAGAATACAGAAGGGGGCAGGGAGGCAAGTTTCAAAAAAAGATGCAAAAAAAAAGATCAAGGAAGCCTGTTTTGCATCCATCATGATCCTGATCCTGTGCCAGGCACAGTGCAAAGAGACCATAAAGACAGGAAAAAATAAAAAAAAGAATGGTAGGAATAAATGCACTTAGGAGGAAATAATGGCACGTTCAGAGAAGAGCTGTGAAAATTGAGCTGCAGGGGCTTCGTTTTCCCTGCATCTAGCCTGATTAAATAATTGGGAGATGTTCAAAGTGGTGAAAATGAAAGCCAGCTATATTTAGAGCTGCACTTCAGCTCATTTCCTATAGTCTAACAAGTGTGTGATTGTTGGGGATGAAGAAAAGCGGTTTATTTTTAGTTAAATCAAATTGAGCCAGCAAAACTTTTTGGAAGTTCCAGACTCATACACTGCCACCCATCCACAATGGTCTGAGAAATGTCAAACACAGCTGACCAGCAACAGGTTTTGTGTCACAAGGCCTGCAAAAAGCAAACCTGCTGACAAACCCATGTCAGGCTTTTATAGGACCTTACCTTAAGTGTTGTAGTGTTCTCATCATCTGACCACTGTTAAAAATAAGAACAAATCAAAGGTTACTGGTTTCCTGGGACATCTTTTATAATTTAAGAGAAGATCAGGATTTATGCAGCTCCTACAACACACAGATCAAATCACTGACCCAGAGAGCATAACATCACCAACTTCTCATTATTTTGCCTGTAAACTAAGACAGGAAAAATACTGTATATTCAGCATTAGTGTTATTCTAAAAGTATGGAAAAAAGACACCTATATATTTTAATTGTGATTTATACCACAAAGTTGGGACACTTCAAAACTCAGAGTCTTCCCTGTCTAAAGCTTGACTCCAGCACTCCCATCCTTAGGCCCATGATCCAGTTCATTTCACTTCTATTCCTTTTTCATCATTCTTCTGTCACCTGGTACTTACAACATCTTTCACTGTTTTTCTTCTAAAATGTTCTTCTGACCTATTATGGCCTCAGAAGCTTTCACTGGTTCCTGAATTACCTCCTTCTAATTTCCCAGGGCATGGAACAGCATTAAGTTCGATTCCAATATCCTTCAAAATTCCCCATTCATTATTACAAATGCAATTATCAAGAAATAAAAAAAGTCTCCTGTGAAAGAGCACAGAAACCTTTTAAACCTTCCCTGATGTCACAGCATAAATAATGATGTTTCCATGTTTTCCAAGGCAACTACCACATGATTATTATTTCCAAGAAGGACTCTCCTCCCCCACAGTTATGCAGAAAAGGTTATACATTCGTATTTTTCTCAAGAGACTTGACATTAAGTTGCATTTTACACTGACCTGTATCTCCTCTGTGTCATCACTGCCCTCCTGAGCATGGCTTGGTGGATCTTCTCTGAAACAAAAAATTCACAGGAAAAAAAAATTAAGCACTGGAGTTTGACTTGACCATATCCATTATATTTCCACAGCATCTCCAGCTGTTGATCAACAAATGTTTTCATAAGAAGACCAAACCTCAAAACTCCTGGCAGAGAAACATCAGAGCAAACCAGGACAGAAAACTGAAGCCTGAACACCCTGCACTAGGCTTGGGCTCTCCCATAAACACTTTGCTTCTTTCAAATTAGCAGATCATTTTTTTCTTCTAAAAGCACCCTAATCAAAGCTTTTCAACACCCTATTTATTAATTATTCTTTTCCAAGTTTACTGTACTCTGACAGAAGCACAAATCAAACAAACTTTCTTTTTTTGTAACAAGTTTAGTTTAAATTATGCTTTGCCTCCATATTCCTTTTTAACTACGAATTAAAAACTTGTAACACCTGAGTTTCAGATGTTGGCCTGTGCATTTCTGATTCTGAGCAGAAAATGTCCTCATTCTCTGCACACAATTCCTATGGGAAGTGGATAAACTGCCATTAGTTTCTTCCTGCAAAGCTCCTTTTCCCACAGAGGTGAGATCTGTTGTAAACACTAAAACACCTGATTGCAAATATTCCCTTGAAGCTTTGGGTGACTTTTGAAGTTCTTTAGCCAATATAACTGGGATCCTAAAGGATCTTAAAGGAGCTCCTGAAGACTTATTCCCATCAAACCAGGGTGGGATCAAATGTACACCCCTACCAAAAGTCAGCTCTAACAAGCCCAGTCTGTGCAGTCCCTCCATGCACTTCCACAGGGACTGAACTCTCAGCCCAGTTTCTGAGATCTGGAGGTCAAACCCTGCTTCACTGAAGATCAGGAGGGGATCCCAAAAGGGATTTTAAACTGGCAACATCTTACATTTATAATTTAGGTCACTCATACAGCTGCCCATTATTCCATTAAAGACAGCAGAAATTGTTTGTACAGCACAGCTGTAAAGTCAAACCCTCAAATTCAGCTTTTCTGAAGGCTTATTAAAAAAAGCAGCTGCTACTAAGAAGTTGCACAATTCTACATAAGCAGGTGACAATACAACTTCCTATCCAAAATGGTTTAAAAACCAGTTCTGATTTCCCTGATACCCTTTAATGAAAAAGAATTTAAAAATTAAAAAAGACCTTTCCTCATTACAAGGTGGTTAAACAGCTCTGGTTTTAAATAAGTTGATAGCTGATAAATTAGACACAGTTCTCATTTCACTCACAGCCTGCCTGGTTGGTCTGTGAGATGTAAACTCCCAGTTCATTCTATTGAGAATTAAACTCAGGTGATATCCCTTCAGCCTTGGCTAAGGCAGCTGGCACGGGAATGGTGTGGGACAGGTCAAGCCTCCAAACTAATATGTATGCAAAACAGGGTTATGAATGGAAAATGGTAAAATGTAAAATGCAAAATGTTTTTCTTTACCTTCCGGAAACCACGAGCGTTCCATCATCCAGTAAATATTCTTTCACATTCTCTGGCAGGGGAAGAATAACACTGGAAGAAACATGAAAATTTCTTTAATATCTTATTATTAATATTACTTGTTAGGATAAAAGCTAGTTGAACAAAAGAATTTGTTTTTTTAACAGCACTTCTTTTTCAATAACACCGTTTCATCCTCTAACCCTATGAAAAAACAATTCTCTTCCTCCCCTCTTATCCCTTACCCAAAAAGCAATGCCAGTTTTCCCTCCAGGGAAGTACAGGACAGAGAGACAAAAGTTATAGATGAAATACATAAAAATGCCTCATTCCTTCAAAGCTCTAAGAAATTCTAAAGTTAAAGTGTGTGTGGCCTGTGAGGAGACAACACGTTGGTGAAACTAAAGGTTTCCCTTCTGAGATCCAAACCAAAATTAGCCTATACCATCCTAATGCTCCAAAAATGCAGGGCTATCCTTAAACTTACCAAAAATAAGCCTGTGCTCAACCTTAAAAAAACCACAAAAGACCTAATACTTTGATTACTAAAAGCCTGATGTCAGCACTTTTTGATCCAACAACGCAACTACCTCAAGCTTGACTTTCCTGAGTTACTGGTAGTTCTTGTAACCATCCCGTGACCTGCAGCGGCACCTGAGAAACTGCAGAATTCCCTAAGGCTTCCAGAAATACACAGAAACACACAAGTCAGCCAATTGGTTTGGACCTATTCAGCCACAAATTCTTTAAGTAGGAACAGCAGCGTGGATAGTAGGATGTGGCTAGCAGGAGCAGTATGGCCATCAGCTGGTGCTCAGCATGGAATCCCACCAGGAGAGCAGGGAGTACAGGGGTATCTGGAGTGCCCCAGGGTTGCCCAAAACACCCCCTCAGGGTGTAGGGATGAGACCCCAGCTCTGGGGACTCCAGCTGATGGCCTGATCGAGCCTTCCCCACCTCCATCCCAGATCTGCCCTGCATGGGTCCCCTCTATCTAACCCAAACCTGTCTCAACAGAAGCCCATTCCCAACCCAGCCCAGCCCCCCAGAATCACAGGTCAGGCTGGAACAGACCACAGTGTGGTCCCACATCTGCTCCCATCTCCCTGCTCAAGCAGGGTCATCTTAAGAGCACATTGCACAGGATTGTGTCCAGAGCCCATTGCACAGGATTGTGTTCACTTCTGGAATATCTCCAGTGAAGGACACTCCACAGCCTCTCTGGGAAATCTGCTGTACTGCACGAATCACAGCGTTGTTACTGCATGGGAAAGTTGTTCCTCCTCATACTCAGTTGGAACTTTCTGGGCATCAGTTTCTGCCCCTTCCCTCTTGTCCTATTGCTGGGTAACACTGAGGAGAGCCTGGTCCATCCTCTGACACCCTCCTTTAGATGTTTATACACGTTAATGAGGTCACCTCTGAGTCCTTACAGTACCTGAAGGAACTTACAGATGGGGCAAGACTATTGACAAGAGCAGATAGTGACTGGACAAGGAAGAATGGGTTCAAATTGAAACAGAGTACATTTAGATTAGATATTAGGAAGAAATGCTTTACTGTGAGGGTGGTGAAGCACTGGTAGAGGTTATGCAGGGAAGCTGTGGATGCCCCATCCTTGGAAGGCCAGGTTGGACAGGGCTTGGAGCAACCTGGTCCAGTGGAAGGTGTCCCTGCCCAGGGCAGGGGGTTGGAACAAGACGATCTTCAAGGTCCCTTCCAACCCAGACCATTCAGCGATTCTCGAGGCTGAACAGGCCCAGCTCCCTCAGCCTTTCCTCGTGAGACAATTCCCTTCATCATCCTCCCTCCAGCCCCTTCATCGCCCTCACTCCCCTCCGCTGGACCCGCCCCAGGCGCTCCGCGTCCCTCTGGCACTGAGGAGCCCAGAAGCCGGACACGGCACCCCAGGAGACCCTCGCCGGGGCTGAGCGGAGGGGCAGAACCCCCTCCCTCTGCCAGCACGGCTCCCACCCAGCCCCACACACCGGCCCCGCGCCGCCCTCACCTGCGGATGGTGACGGCCTTGAAGAGCGGGTACCACACGGAGAACTGGCAGTGCACCACCTGCTCCTTCTTCATCCTCCTCCTCCTCTTTCTCCGCCTCCTCCTCCCGCCCCTCAGCGCGGCCGCTCCCGGAAGCTCCGGCCGGGCCCGGAACCTCCCGCGCAGCTCCCGGCGCCGCCCGGCGCCATCGCGGGGACACCGGCCCGGCCCGGCCCCGCCTCAGCCCCCTCAGAGCTGCCCGCGGAGCCGCTCCCCGCTGCTCTGCCCCAGCCGCCGAACCGCCGACTAACGCCTCGCTCTCTTAGGTCCTGCTGTCGTCTCTGTGCCTGTCTGTCCCCCCTGCATGGAGTTGTGTCGTGGAGTCGTGGAGCGTAAACGGGTTGGAAGGGAGCGTAAAAGATCTCGCTCATTCCACGGGCGGGGACGCCTTCCACTAGAGGAAGTTGCTTGAGGCTTTATCCAGCCTGGCACTGAACGTTGCCAGGGTTGGGGCATCCGCAGCCTCCATGGGCAACCTGTGCCAGTGTTTCACCACCCTCGCAGGGGAGAATTTCTTGCTGATATCTAACCTAAAGTTCCCCCCTTTCAGTTTGTATCCATTACGCCTTGTCCTGTCACTACAGCTCCTGATGGAGAGTCCCTGTTCCCCCTTCAGGTACTGTAGGGTGCTCTGGGGTCTCCACGCAGCCTTCTTTCCTCCAGGCTGAGCAGCCCCAATTTCACAGCCTGCCTTCATAGCGGAGGTGCTCCAGTCCCCTTCTCGGCTGTGTGGCCTCCTCTGGGCTTGCTCCAGCAGTCCCATGTCCTTCTTACTTTGGGGACTCCGGAGCTGGACGCAGCTCTGCAGGTGGGGTCTGACCGGAGCAGAGCTGGGGGGCAGAATCCCCTCCCTTGCCCTGCTGCTCCTTTTGGCACAGCCCAGGACACTTTGGATCTCTGGGCTGCCAGCTCGTGTTGAGCTTGTCATCAACCACTCCATCATTTTGCTTTCTCCCAGGTCAAGTAATAACCAGGTCAAGTAATAACTGAGTAACGTGTTCTTTTGTTAAGCCTTGTGGTTCTGCTGTCGTCTCCGTGCCTGTGTGTGTCCCCTTGCATGGCATTGTTCCCTCATGCGCTCTCCCGTCTGCTCTTTGGGAATGTCTCCCCCAGCCCTCACAGCTGTCTGGGAGTTTGATAACAACGTAAAGATACTGATAACCCTCCTCTGCCCATGCGAGATAGTCCTTGTTGTTGCTGTTTGTCCTGCAGTTATTTTTCCATGTTTTACTTGGCACTGAGCGGGTCGCCCGTGCTGAGAAATACCACGACAAAAATGAAACATTCCCCCTCACACACACCCCTTTTCTCCCTCTCCCTTTCTCCCATCGACTTCTGCAAATTAATTGATTTTGTTTCTAGAATTGCTTTTTGTTTCGGTCACAAGTTTAAAGCGACTTGGGAGCTTTTAATGATGTTTGTCATCAGCACACGTATCTCAAAGTGCTGTTGGGTAAATCGTGCATAAAACACTGCCAGTGTCCCCTTTGCAGGTTATTTATAAGAGAACCTGTATTTTGTTTTAATCTTGAGCTTGCTTTAGGACACCACTGCTGAGCTTCCATTAGATCTGGGTGCTGTCAGCTGGGATGTGTGTTTGGATCAGAGAATGTCTTCTGAAAAGTGATTTAGAAAAGCTGATCCATATATATGATTTATAACCATATGTAAGGGTTAATATTAGAGTACAGTTGTGATACCTTGGCTTCTCTTTAAGCTGATTCACAGGCCTCAGCTGGCTTAAGATTTTAACTCTTGGGAAGGATAACTTTTAAGCTGTAGAATGACTGGATGTTGACTTCAAAGGAAGGCACTCAATAAAGGAATAAGCAATGGGAATAAAGTTACATGTTTTATAAATGGCATGCCTTGTGCATGACTGAGTTTGACCCCAACATGAAATAAATGGAAGAAGTAGCATGATTTGCCAGCAAAAGCCTGTAACACTGGCCACAGAAATTGCTAGAGAAAGCAGAATTGGGCCAAAACCATTTGTTTTTCCCCATAATTTATAGTCTGAGTGCTGTTGCTTCACGTGAAGGCAGCTGATAAATGTGAGTGTTGTGATATATTCTTAGGATTGCATTGATAACTATTAAAAATGTATATTCTTAGAGCTCCTGTAATCCTAAGCCAGCCAGGTTCCCAGGCTGCTGTGTGAGCTGCCTTGTGTTTTTAACTCAAATGATGCACTGGGAATTTTGTGAGAGAGAAGAAGAACCTTCCTGTCAGAGGGCTGGAAGACAAGGTCTGTTCTGAAGGCAATCAGGGCTTTAGACACACTGTGGTGTTAAATTCAATTTTCAGTCGCAGCTGATTTTGTTCATGAACAAGAGGGGTTGCCACCCTTGACAGCACGACCAGCGTGAGCTACCAGAACTGCAGCCCTTGTTTAACCAAATTTAACCATTTCAGCTTCATAACAGCCACAGCTCTCACTTCTTACAGCCAACTGAATTTGGAAAAAATTGCTTTTTGGTGGAACTTTTAAAAATGACGCTACACAAAGAGTTACTGCACCCACTTGTGGAGGAGGCCCGAACTGCAGAAGCTGAGATAGATCAGTCTCCTCTCTCTTTGAGGTGCTCACCCATTTTAGATTTTAGTGGTAATTCAAACGACTGAAACTGTATATTTTTTTGTTATTTTAAGTAGCAAGTCACCCTTGAATCTGTCAGCAGAGAGCAAGCTGTGTTGAAAAGCCGTGAGATGAGGTTCTAGTATGTTTTTGGAACTGATGTAGGTGAGTATTAATCCTGTTGTACAAACCATTGCTACAGGTGCTTGTGGGATTTGGGGAACAGCTGTGGTAATCCACGTTTGAGAGAGAGACACTGATACCTGTAAGCTTCTGTAAAGGATTAGTGTGATCCATGGAACAGGATTTCCTGTGAGGGAGAGGCTAAAAGAGGAAGATTTACTCAGTCCCATCCAAAAAAAAACCTCAGTGAGGTTCTCTACCTACTCCTCTGGTGTATTTATATTGACAGTGCAAAAGGCTGTAATTCTGTCCAAACGTGGGAGGTGAATTTGTTGTGGCTGGCTCTGTGAGGTTTTTATGTTTTTAAGGCTTAATATTTCAGGCATCACACAGAGCCTCCTTTGCTTCCTCTGGGTGACCAGGAACCTTTGGGAACATGGCGTAGAAATTGGAAGATAAGCAAGTGAGGTTCTTGAACAGTTTTTCATACAAACAGCAGTAAGGTAGATAATAAACCTGCATAGCTTTGAGATGGAGCTTCATTGCTTTAAGAAAAGACTATAGAACGTGGTTTTGAAGGAACAGAATTGGGGTTAGCAGGTCAGGGTTTCTTTTCAAGGCTTGTGTTACATAAAATCAGTCTGAATGTTTGGCCTTGATGACCTGCTTCATCCAAAACCAGTGTCCTGAGGAAGAGCCTGCCCTGTGTGCAGGCTGAGGAAGTGGATTTATGTAGGTTGGTTTTACTCCTGCTGATAAACAGAAATGTTTACTACTACCTATTCCTTTTAACTACTTCTTGGAATTAAGAAAGCTGGTTGTTGCTCTTCCATGTTTCACAAATATGCAGTAGATGTTATCGTAAAAGGGTAAAGGTGGAGTGAAAAATGAAAGTGCTAAAATTTAGTGTGACAGAGAAGGTCTTCACACACTTGTGTTCATTGCTAGAGGCCACACAGAGCCTTATTAAACCATAGCTGGAGCATGGAAAGATTCCTGTTGACTTCATGGAAAGTTAATGGTATGGAGGATGGACATCTTTGTCTCTCCCAGGGTTTAAATTGGTTTGCTGCTTCTCACTGGCTTTTGCTTTATGATTCCCGATGATTTCCAGGATTCCAACTTAACAGCGATGAGCTTCCCTGGTGTGAGTCTCTGTGCTGAAAGTGCTTTGGGCAGATATTTCAGCTGCCCTTTGCAGGGTGCTGGGCACAGCATTGCCAGTGAGAGACTGCCCTGCTCTGGTGTCACCAGCTCCACGTGCCTCCTGCACTTGCAACACACGTGGGGCTCTTTGACCTTGGTTTTTGGCAGAAGGTCGAGTCGTTTCCGTGTTTGTTTGGGATGTGTGTAAGGTGGGGGTAGGTTCTAGTCCTGATTCTTCACAGCAGGCAGCTTTCACCCCTGAAATCCTCTTGGTAGAAGGGTTTTTTTCCCACTTCCACAGTGAAATGTGTGGTCCTGTTATCCACACTCTGCTGGCAGAGCATTTCACCCAGACCAGAATGAAACGATTTGACTGAAGGGGATGAACTTTGTCTGTGTGTGTGTCTGACATGTGAGTAGTTAAGAAGGGTGTCTTCAGCCAGCATAGATACGTAGCAGCTGATAGGACCATTACAACAGTGCAAGTCAGGGATTTGATCCAAATTTACATTTCTCCTTTGGGTTATTGGACTCTGAAACCTTTGGGTGGAGCCAAAAATGTGAATTGAACTTGCCATCACACGTCCCTGGCTTCCTCCAGCGAGCCACATTTGCTACTTTAGAATGCAGACATGAACCTTTTAACTTTACACTGACATCAAATATTGACTTAGTTTCATGTATATCTGGACTTTGCACAGGGGGGAAAAGCCTGACATTGCTGAAAATGGCAGCTGAGGAACCCACAGAAGGTCCAAAAACAGCCAAACAGTTCGTGGTGAAGGAAGAGGTACAGCATGCCTGGGGTTGACGTGTGGTGTTGTTAAATAACTGTTAAATAACAGTTATTTGAGAGTGATCAGAGTGTTTGTGAGTGCAGAGAACAAAGTGCTGTAAATGCTGTGTGATTGTAACAATCGTTTCAATGGACAGAACACTTCTTCCTGATGGGCAGGGAGTTTAAAAGGGGTGACATTTCTCTTGGTGGAAATAATCATACAGATTTTCAGCGGGGGGAGAGAAACCTACAGTCTTACAGCATTTTAAGCTGCTGCTTTTTGTTTCAGATTATGCATCTGATTCTTGTATTGTCTGTTCAGGAGGTTTTCAGTGTTCAGAAATAATGCTGGTACTTCTGAGAGGCCTTACAAATCAGAGGGTCGTGAAACTCAGCCTTGTTTTCTGTTCCTTTGAGAAGAACCACTGGGAGTTTCCTTAAGGTTTAGGATTGTACCACCTTTCATGTTTTCTGAAAGGCTCTGAATTTAGATAATTGCTGGTCTAAAGACATGAGTGAGGAAGTAGTAAGATTAATATCAGGTCCTGAGGAAGGATTCTGGGAGTACTTCTGGGTGCTTATTAGGAGCACTTTCACCCTAATTTAAGCTGCCTCTATTTGTTTCAATTCCCTTTTAAGTGAATTCTTAAAAGTTAATCTTTGGTGTTAAGGCAGGTTTGGCAGCAGCCTCACACTGTTGTTACAACACAAATGTAGTTTCTTCTATTTATTCTTCCTTGGAGTGAACGGAGTCGTGTCATTTCTTTAGGTTTCAAGGTACAAAACCTTTTCAGGAAAGAAGAGATTTGTTTGGATTATATTTAGGTCTTTTCCCTTGGATATTTTTTTAATATGAATATATCTCAAGCATTAAGGGCTTCATTTTTGAAACCTTTCTGTGTTTTCTGCTAAGACCTGTTTTCCTGCAGGCAGAATTTTCATTTTATTCTGTCTGGTTTTGTTTGTGGTATTTTTTGTGGTTTTGTTGGTTTGGTTTATGTTTGTTTGTTCGTTTTTATAATGTCTCTTTGTTATCCTCTTTTGAAATATTGTGGGGTTTGGTGTCACCAGCAGTTTATAATTGGATTTTACATACTTTAGGCTATTTAGGTTTTTCAGGCATTTTGTGGGCTTAATACAGGGAAGTTTTTCCCCTGCCTGGTGCCTCTGCCACCAGCCTTTCTGTTAGAAGTGCTTCTGTAACTCAGCAGTGACTGATGGTGGTCTGATGTTGGAACAGCTTCTTCCAGGGAAGTGGCAGCTGATTTTATTTCATTCCTCCTGTTCCTGGGAACGCCCAGTCAGGCTGTTGTAAGCAAAGCAGATGTTATTTGCTCATCAAAGCAATACTCAAAGCAATAGAAATAACTCATTCTAAAACAAGTTACATTAAAAGAAGTGAACTGCTGGGCTAATACCTAAGGGATTTTTCCCTTTTAAGTGAATCACATAAAAAAATGGTGTTAGTGGTAAGAACTCAGCCAGCAGCTCTCAGAAATCCTGACAGGACAGGTATGTACCTTGCACATTCCTGCATTTATTGTGATGCTGAATTTTTTTTCCTCTAAAGAATCCAAAAATAGCTGTGTTGTTTCTCTCAAATAGCCCCCGAATCTTTGGGATTAATCTTATGATGTGTTTAACAAAGAATTCTTTGTTTTAGGTCATCGCAGAAAGAAAATGGTTGAAGCTTGAAGAAACAACTTACACTGATCCCTTTGGGAAAACCAGGTAATTGCCTGTGTGGTGTTTCAGCTTCCTGTAATGTTCTCAGCTGTGCAGACTGGCCCCAGAGCAGAGAACAGGAGCATTACAGACCCATCATTCCACAGGAGATGAGAGCTGGGCACTGGGCACTTCCTTTAGAATTCCTGCTGTTCAGAGGAGGGAATCTCACCCCACCAGATGTGCTGGCGTGTGGAATTTGGCTCCTAAATCCTTCTTGGGCACACTGAGCCTTGGATTGTGTTGCATTTCCAGCTCCTTGTCAAGATGCTACACAGAGGCAGTTCTAGGCTGTGGCACTCAGTCCATCCTGTGGCTTTTCTGGTTCTTCATTAAGGGCTCCTTCTTCCCTGCTGATGGTGCTGGATCTTGCATAGTACTGACAAATTAATGTCCCCTTGTATAGTATCATGTCTGTCCAATCCTGTACACCTCAGTGTTGCTGTTTTTATCCAGGGGTGACACCATGGCTTTAGTCCCATCAGCAAAACATCCTCTTAGAATCAGCAAGATTGGACCTTTTGTGGAAGGATTTGTATTGCTGGGGGATTTTTTTTGGTTTTTATTCATCCCACTGCTTATGTTGAGAGAGAGAAGCTTTTGTCCTCCTTGCCTGTGTGCTCCTTGTATGCTCCAGCAGCTGAGCTGAAAGTCCATAACTCACCCTCTAAACCTTATGGAGATGAAAGATGGAATTCACATGGTCTTGTTACAAAATTGTACTTCAAAATCTGACTTGTTTTATACATAAGTTGCTTTATTTTGCTCTTTTCCAAGATGACTTTTATAAGACTTGCCTGTTCTGTGACAGTCATTTATGTCTTTCCTTATGTTTAGTGATCTAAACCATCATTAATTAACTGACTTTCTCTCTCCCTCTTTAAGCAGGCAAAATAAAATGATGCTCCACACATTTTATAGTATATGACAGGGCTGACCCATGAGCAGCTGCTTTCTTAGGAGGCCTCACCATGTGATGATATATTTTGCTTTTAAATGGAAGTAGCAAGGGTAGAAGATGACTTACATGTTCATTTGTTCTTTCCTCTGTGTTAACCAGAACTTGGGAGACTGTAAAGCGAACTGGCAACAAGAAGGGAGTCACAGCTGATGGTAAGACACTGGTGGCTTTATTTTGGGTGGCATTTTTTTTCCTGTGGCAATTCTTCTGATAAACTCACGGCGCAGACTTAGAGCTGAGCTGTTTCTGAGTGAGTGAGGATGTGGAACAGGTAGCTTGGCAGAGCTTGCTGTACCCCAGAGCTGATGAAATGCAGCCTCAGTGCTGAACAATCAGACCCTCACTGGTAGGAGTGCTTTCCCAAGATCGTTGGATTCACTCCCCCTGCTGCACTCACTGTCTGTGCTCTGTGGCTGTTGCAGGGGTAGCGGTGATTGCAGTGCTACAGAGGACTCTGCACTACGACTGCATTGTCCTGGTGAAACAGTTCAGGCCCCCAATCAACGGCTACTGCTTGGAATTCCCTGCAGGTGAGTGACTGAAACGTTAGGATGAGTCACATACAGTTCAGTGCTTGGATGTGCTTGGAGTGTCAGCTGGAAAACTGCGCTGAGCTCAGTGTGCTGTTCCGAAATAGGAATGTTTGATAATGAAGAAAACAAAATGAGCTTGTTTTAGCAAACTGGAGAAAGTTCTCTCCACTTCTCCTTTCCCTAAGAGTCGAAGCATTCAGCTTCTTTCCCTCATGAGAATATCAGTGCCATTTCCTGGGAAGGTGGGATGATTCTGTAGATGATCAGTTAGGGATGTGAGGAGCAGCACGATGAATCCAGGAGCTGGAACCCTTCCTAATGCTTCAGTTTATCCCTCTGTAAATACTACAGGGGAGTGAGGATGTTTCACCTCTTCCATAACACTTGATTAGAGCTTGGGATGGCTATTGCAGTTAAGTGGTAGGCTTTTAATTATCCTTGTGTCTTATTTGTCTCACAGGCCTCATTGAGGAAAACGAGTCAGCAGCAAGTGCTGCACTGCGAGAGCTGGAGGAGGAAACTGGGTACAAGGGGGAAGTCATTGAATGTACTCCAGGTCTTTGCTTTTTTTTTAATTTTCCCACCAAAGCCAATTCTGTCTTTGAAGGCCCCTCTAAATGTCTAAAATGATGTAAACCAAAGGTAAAATCTATGCAGCAAAGCCTTGGTCCTTTGTGAGTCGGTTGCTGAGCTTCTGCTGGACGTACAGGGCTGAAGTAAAAGCTGGATGTCTGTAGGGAGAAAACTGCTATTGATCAGGATCCTGCACAAAACCCAGTTATTCAAGCTGTGATTTGGCATTTTAGTATAAATGTCTAAATTACTGGACTTGTGTGAACAGCATCTGTGAGCTTAGGTAGAAAAGAAAAACAGCTGCGATGATGCAGTGTGAGTGGAGGTCACCCTCCTGTCAGCTGTGGGGAGGTGACAGGGCTCGGGTTTTCCAACTGGAAAGAAGGAGAGAATAATTGGAGTAAATTCAGAGATCCTTTGGAATGTGACTGTTGCCAGTCCCATGCTGGTAACAATCCCATTCATAAAATGAAATGAAGGCAAAACAAGGATCAGAAATCAAACTTGACAAGGTAGAAAGGTAACTTGGATATGATTTCAAGGAAATGCCATTGCAGTTGAGACCTGGTTCTCAGTTACTGGTTACAACTGCATGTTGGGGACAGAGGTGGGAGCAGGTGATGGTAAAACTGGACTCCAATAGACTGAGGAAGTCTATAAGAGTTTACAGTTATATCTTCAGTCTGTGGAATGGAAAGTAAACTTAGCTGCTGAAAACAAGCCTTACCAGGGATCTGTGAAAGAGCTGAGAGTTACAGAAACGTTACATTTAAGGACATGTGAAAGCAAAGTTTTCACTGCTCTTCCAGCATGACAAATAATATGATCTGTGGTATCAGATACATTCCTGTGAAAGCTTTTGTTACAGTGACAAGTTGCCTGACTCCTGCTTTGGAAAATGCCCCCTCTCCATGTGCTTGTTTGGCAGCTCTGTGCTTGGACCCAGGCGTGTCAAACAGCACCACACACATCGTGAGCGTCACCATTAACGGAGACGCGGCTGAGAACACGAGGCCCAAGCAAAAGCTTGGTGAGTTTGGTGCCACTCCTCTGAAAATTTCGGGAGGATAACAAAAGGATGGGTTTGAAAGAACTGACCCCACCACTGCATCTCTTCTGTCCCAGCTGATTTGGATGCTGCAGGTCCCTAAAATCACATGCAGCAGTTGAGATGAGCAGTGTGTCTCTGTTTGGGACACACTGGGGAGGCCCAGATGGGAAGTGTCAGATGTTGGCACAGCCAGAAGGAGACGTTTTGGTGCCAAACCTCAGTGAGGGCCATGAGCACTTAAGAGCCTACATACTCCTCTCAGCTGTAGCTTCACTCTGGAAGTAATTACAGCATCAGTCAGCTATCAAAATGCTTTTCAATTGTAAACTCCAGTGTGTTTCAAATCCCTTACCTTACTGCTTTTTTTTCACTTGCAGATGAGGGAGGTACGTAATGTGACTGCGCTCCCATTGGCAAATGTGATCTTCAGATGGCAAGTTTTACTTAGAAAATGTCAGTTAAAACTGGTTTTTTATTTGTGCTTGAGTAATCTCCTGACCCTAATCAAATGTGCCTGAGATTGACTTTGGCCTAGACATGAAAATTCCTGTGGGCCGTTATCACGTCAATTATCTTTCCAAGTATTGCACCTCCAGCACCAGCATCTGGGGAAACACAACTCACTGAACCCACAGCAGCTGTAGGTCAAACCCCAAAGACAAGTGATTCAGAGAGACAGGGGAGCTCTAAGCCAGCACAACTTCAAAATCATGAACAAACCCTTTGGTTTGGTCTTGAAATGCATCTCCAATCCATTCCTGTACCAGTAGAAGCCAATCAAAAGCCCACTTGATTTTCCATTGTCTCCTTTCAGCTGTCAGCTACACTCTTTATGCAGCTGTTTCCCAGCTTCTTTCTGCCAAACGTGTTTTTAATGACCCCAGTCTCTGCCTTTAATAACCCCCATTAATAACCCCCTTTAATAACCATTTTCTGACAGATTCTCACAGCTTTTGGATGGTGATGAGCACAGAGACAGTTTCTCTCCCCTTCTAAGTTGTAAAAAACAGGAGGCACTGCGGGGAATTTCTCTCCTGTTCGCTGGTTTAAGGGTGCATAAATTTTTTTTCTTCTCTCCTAGAATTTGTGGAGGTTATTTCACTTCCAAAGAACGACCTACTGCAAAGAATTGATGGTAAGGGCTTCCTGCCACATGAAATGCCCCAAAGTGAGCCTCAAGCACCCCTTAGCTTTTCTTCTCCAAGCTCCTCACAGTGTTTCTCACCCTAGAGTAACTGTGTCATAAGCAAAAAGCCATGAGAGACCTGACCAGGCATGAGAGTTGGCACTGAGAATTCCTGCCTGGAATGCTACACATCTCCAGTTTAGTAAAGGACTTCCTTTTCTGCAGAGATGTCTTGACAGCACCTCACAGTTTGTTTTGTTTTGTTTTCAGAGCTGGTAGCAGAGGAACACCTTGCAGTAGATGCCAGGGTTTACACTTACGCCCTGGCTCTGAAATGTGCAGCAGAAACACCTCTCCAAGTTCCCTTCATGAAGTTTTAAAGCTGGACAGTGAGAAACTTAGTGGAAAACTGCCCAAGTCAGGTGGCTTAGAAGCACAACTCTTCTTGTAATCAAGGGCCTTTGCTTTACTTGTAGAGCAAAAAAAAAAAAAAAAAAGTATTTGTAGGAACGATTCTGATACTTTTATTTGGAATTGTGTAACTGACAAAAAGCATTTCTTCTAACTGCTCTATCAAGCCTTGACGGACTCTCCATAATAAAAACACTGTTTAATTTTCAGAATAGCTTGTTTCTCACTACATTCCTTTCTGCACTTGTGGGTAAGTATGAGGAAGATGCCAAAGGTAACTGTGGTTGGTGTCATACCCCGTGTTCCAAAGGAGGGAAGTGGCAGGAGGAGCCACGCTCTGTTCCCACACACACAAAGAGCAGCACTCAAAGAGCCTGGAGAAGGGGAGACTGAGGGGAGAACTCCTGGTGATCTGCAGCTTCCTCCTGAGGGAAGCAGAGGGGCAGGCATTGACCTGCTCTGTGGCCACTGACCTTCTCTCAGCCCAAACCAAACCATCCCGAAAGAAAGAATTGGTTTGTTGCTCTAAGAAAACAATGACTCTGACAACAAAGGTGACAACCTCCATCCACTGGTGCAGACCAGCACGGTGTGGGATCCAGCCAGGGATCCTGCTGAAGGTCTGAGGTCACTCACATGCCCCCAGAGTGCTCAGCCTTGCAGTTTTCCCTCTCTGAGGAAACATCCACCAGCGGTGTATCCAGGCTGCACTTTCACTCAGTCTGAGCCCTTCTTGGTAAATCTTTCCCAACCCAACCTTCAGTGCATCTGCACACAGTGGGCTGCTTCTAATCATGTAAACAGCCAGCACTGCTGAAAGCTCAGGATCAGGGAGTTTTAACAAACACACCCCAGTATCAGCCTTGCCTCTGAAATGGATGAGGACAGGCCAGCATAATTAGGGAGATTTTCCCAGCTTAGAAAAGAAGCAGAAAACTTGCCTGAGATTTTTCTTACCTTCACAAGCAACACAAAGTTACTTTCAAGTTAAGCATGAGAGAAGAAAGAAGAAATGTGACATCAAAGGGAAAAAGTAATTGATGACAGTAGAGCTTTAAGGGGAGGAATCTTGAGATTTGATTTTTTAATTAAGGCTGCTAAAAACTAATCAGTTATATTCTAGAGAGAGGAAGAATAAAGAGGGGAAAAAAGGGAGCCTCCCAGACCTACTTCACGTTTAGGGCACGTTAGAAACGATCAAAACATGAAGTACATGTGGCACAGAGAAGACCCAGGAGAGAGTTTAATTAAATAAGTTTATTGTCTAACGCGCACAGTTGTTACACGGCCGCTGTAAAGTGCGACGGGTTTCCAGCAGGAGCTCCCTGTTCCCTCCTCCCTCCTCCGAACACGCGGCTTCGGGAACCAGGCCTCGTTCTTTAGACTCACAGAAGCGAAGTGGACATGAAGTTTCAGTGGCACAGTTTTCACAATGACATGGTTTAACAGAACTGCAGGGGCTGCCAGAGTGTCCCTCGGGAGCCCAGCGTGCCCCAGGATGCAGCAAATCCACCCCAGAACCAGTTCACAGGTGAGATGAGTATCAGCCCGCGGTAAATTGTTTGCTTGGCCACCCTTGGAGCCAAGGGAGAGGTGCCCGGGTGGAGACACCGCAGTGGAGTAACGAGTGCTGAGTTCAGTGAGGGGGAAATGGGAGTTAAAAAAGTACAAAAAATGAATGTATAATACAGGTACGAGTACATTTTGTCAGGAATACTGGCACGTGGCAATCTGAACTCAGGTAGTTGTGGTTTTTTTTTTCCTATTAAGGGCAGGGAAATTAATTTAACGTTTTACTGCTGTGTGCAAAGGTGTTTTTACCGCTCTCAAACTGATACACCTTCCCATCTCACTGTAGTGTCTGAACAGCAAGGTAGATGAATTGTTTCCAGCATTACAGGCAACACTAGATAATAATACTTAAACAAGATAATGTAAACTTTATTCTTAAGGCAGCTGGTACTAATGCTGCACACAGGCTTTGCTCGGTGCCCACGACAGGAATGGGGCACGGAGCACTCGAAAACAAGTCAAAAGAAAAGAGCATTATTCGACTAAATGACACGTGTGGTCAAAATACCTTCCCTTTCACACAAACCATGAAATACTTGGACATCTAGAAAAATAATGCACCTACTCCTCCAACCTCAGCCTGTTCTTTTACAAATATTTCAAAATACTGATAAATAATAGTGACTGCAAGCAGGATGCCGGTGCCGGAGCCGATGGCTCCCAGAAAGTCGGCCAGTACTGAAAGGGCCCCGATGCACAAACCACCAAAGGCAGCTGCCGTGGGGATGTACCTGCAGCACAGGGAAAACAGGAGGGAAAAGGGTGTTCACAACCAGGGATTTTCATCTGAGGGTTCTACCAATGTATCTATTATGAAAATGACTGACTGGAATAACCTGAGAGCAAACAGGGTTAGATTGGATATCAGGAAGAAAAATTCTACACTGTGAGAGCAGCGAGGGACTGGCACAGGATGCCCAGAGTTGTGGATGCCCCAGCCCTGGAAGTGTTCAAGGCAGGGGGGCTTGGAATGAGATGATCCTGAAGGTCCCTTCCAACCCAAACCACTCTGTAATTCTGTGCATATCAAGCAATAAATTTAGTGTTGCAAATGCAACCCTGCCATGAGCTCTTACTGTCCTCCAGTAGAAACAAAGTAGAAACTAAAATAAAAACTCACTGATAGGAAATCTTTGTGAATAACAAAGCTTTTCAATTCACAGTTTTAACAACTTTACATGGATGTGTGCCATGGAACCTCCACAAGACCAAGAGTAACTGCTTTGAATTAAATATGCAGGGATCAATCTACTTTTCAATAGAGCTCTGCAGGCTTTACATGCTGTGTAAAATACAGCTTTGGTAGTGCCATGCTAGGTCAGTAATGGTAAACTAAACACCTGTGGAAATCAAGGCATCTTTCTTTTACAAACACAGAAGACATTCAACTCAAATTCCCTCATTATGCCACTTAAAAATCGACACTACAGGTTAATCTCCATCCTACTGCTAAAACACCTTGTGCTTAACTAGGAAAGACAGCTAAATTGAAAGAATCTTCCCATTTGCAGTAAAAACAGGCCTCAGATTTTTCTGAGAAATCATCCAGCTGGAAGTCAGCCTTTCCTTACCTGTTAAGCTCATGAACCATTGAGGTGTCCCTGTGGCCTCTCATCACCATTTGCTGTTCTTTGAGCTGCTTGGCAACCTGCAGAAAACATTATATTTTATGAACCCGCTGCAGGTGTTTCGCAGTCACCCGAGATTCAGTGAGAGCAACAACTGCTCAGTCAGTGCTGGTCAGCTCTGCCCCAGGGGCACCGTCTGACAGCAGACACAACACCTACATCTTTGGCTGACGAGCCGGACACCTCGATCCAGGTCTTGGAGAAGAAGGCGCAGGATCCCAACATAAATATGATGTAAACTATCACGTGGACAGGATCCTCAAATATTGCACCCATGGATTCTGGAGGGGACAAGTAGTAGCACAGGCCGCCCACAGGGTACGAGCGAGCGGGGCCACCACCGCTGACGTCCTGCGAGGGGAAGGGAAAGGCAGCCGGTTATTCCTCCCAGAGCTCCCACGTTCCCAGCCTGTGTTTATGGAGGAATTCCTCCTCCAGGTTTAAAACTGCTTTCATATCCAAATGTTAAAAAAAGTAAGTATTCCGGTTTTCTGCCGGTTAAGTACCAAAGTTTGACAAAGCGGGAACATCTACAGATAATTTTAGAAGTACTTACTGCCCACTGTCCCAGTAAGTTCACCAGGAAGTTGCCACTGAAACGAACAGACAACATCTGGGAAATGACGTAGAGGTTGGAAACTAAGGCGGACTGCAGGATGATGGGAATGTTGGAGGTGTAAAAGAGCTTGATGGGGTAACTGCTGTACTGCCCACGGTACCGCGCAGACTTGATCGGCAAGTCCACTCGGAATCCCTGCGGGAGAGAACCCCAAAGCTCCAAGTTTATTTCCAGACAGAAGGTATTCCCAGTATGCCCCAAAGTTATTCCTGACCACGGAGTTCTTGCTAGATAAACAAGGAGTGCAAAGTCCAGGACTGCAAAGGCCAAAGGCTTTCAGCTCCAGTCGGGATTACAGATTTTCAGGATTTTTCAAGTGTTACTGCGTGGCTGTATCACACTCTTTTCATATAAACACTATTTCCCATCTGCTAAACAAAGCTCCTCCAAAACACACTTTATAGAACAGGGTTTGATGAAAGCCTCTAATGGCTTTTAACTGAACTAACCAGTTACCAGCAGGCTCTTGGGTGGTAAGCCCAGTCTTATGTTTCCTGGGGCAGGATCCTCTCTGAGGAGACCCAAGAAAAACCACAGGGACCTGAAAACCTGATCATTCTTTTCTTCTTTTTTCAGTAAATACTTAGATTTAAAAAGAAGCACTGGCTAAGTGTTTCAAAAAAATTAGGGAAAAATCAATAAGCTCTGCATTAATTACATGGCTGTTTTCTAGAACAAACCTGTGTCACACACAACCCAAAGAAACAAAGTTCTCCAAAAGTATTCTCTGAAGTCAGTGATGAATATCAAGCATGTTACTGGTGTGGTGCAACCACTGCAGTCCCAGAAACCATTTTTAGTAAAAATCCTCTCCTAAGCGTGTATGGAATGTGAGATTACACCCTGAGCACCAGCAGGCCTGGCTATAAAACTGAACAGCTGTGCTGTCACAGGAGGATGTTACTGAAATAACAAGACTGGAAATAAATTGCTCCTAAGACACTTCAGTTACTCTGCTCTAAACTTGCCCATCTTTTCCCAGAGCCTGCAGTGTCCAGGGTCCACGTGCACCTCTGCAGAGCTGCTCTGAGGAATTTTACCTGGAAATAGATGACCACAGCAAAGACAAACACTGTAGCAATCAGGTTCATGAGGTTGGGCAGGTTCTGTCTGTAAAAAGCCTCCCGCAGAGCCCGGACTTTGTCGGTTCGGGTAGCCAGGAGATGGAATAATGCAATCACAGCACCCTCAAACTCTGTTCCTGCAGGAAGCAAAAAGGGAAAAAGGAATTTTAATCTCCAAGTTAAACACATTAAAGCAAAACAAAAAAATTTTTTTCTTCTGGAAATGTTAAGAACTACATAAAAAATTCGGTACAACATAAATCCTGTTACAGCAAATGTGTCCCAATACAGGATTGGCTGTAATGGTCTACCAAAACATTATTCTTTGTTAGGAAAACCAAAATAAACAGAAAAGTCACCCTCATGAAAGAATACTCTCTTCCTTTCCTTTCTGGGGGCAGGAGGATGATTGGAAGGAAGAAACAAGAAACGAGGAGAAAAATATCTTTAGAAAAGCAGAAATAAAATGCGACAGAAGCGCTGAAAATCAGGTGCAAATGGAAACAAACTAAAAGCCTGGCTCAGGATTTCAAATGAATGCAGTAACCAGTTCATTTCTTAATGCAGAAAGGCTGTAGCTTTTCATTTCAGAGTCTCAGGACAACCACATGTGAAAGACTGGCCGAGGAATGAAGGGATTGCAGCCTCTGAAGAATCAAACCAGCTTGAAGTAATTCACAGGCACCAGCAGCAAAGTGTCCTGTAGCCCCAAACAACAGCTGGAACATGAACAACCCTCTGAATGTACAACATTTCCTCTGTTCTCTTTCTATGGACTAAGTGATGCTAAAAAACGAGACTATTTCAGTTTGGAAATCCAAAAATTTTCACTCAAGGGCCTTCCGGTCCCATTTGAGCTTTTGCAACTCAGATCAGCAAAGGCAAACTTGCAGGTTAACAAAATTCACATAAGTCAGACAACACTTCCATCTTCAGTGTTAACTGGACAACTGACTGCAGGAGTGAATCACCACACACTAAAACTTTTTTGAGGAGCCATCCAATAAACACCTGACAGTTCCTGTGTAGTTACACCCCCCCTGAAAGATGCTGTAACTGCAGCAGCACACCCACCTCTGCCAGTGTTGATGGTGGTGGGACTGAAAGCCTTCCAGACGATGGTTTCACAGATATTGGTGGCAATGAACAGGGAAATGCCAGAGCCCAAGCCATAACCTTTCTGCAGCAGCTCATCCAGCAGCAACACAATCAAACCAGCAACGAAGAGCTGGGGGAAGAGAAACAAAACTGAGCAGAAACAAGAATAAAGCAAGTCAAGATTTGTGTATTCATTCCCTGCTTCAGTATTTTCATCGTGTTGGGAGAGGGACCATTAAGTTTTTCATCTAATTATCATTTGTGCAGTAATTCTGCCACTTGCCCATCTCACCTGGCCATGAGCTCTGGGGCTTTTCAATGCAGAGGGAGCAAACAGATTACTCAGTAAGCACTTTTTGGAAAAAAAAACCCTTTAAGTTTGTGTGCATTTAGTGCTTTGTTCTACAGGAGAAGGTGTCAAAGCTGCACCTGTGCCACTGAGTGAGAAGTTCACAGCACTGACAGCAGCTACTGCTTTCAAAGTCCACTAATTCCTGTATTTTCACTTAAGCAGCCACTCCTATCTGAAATACTTTTGGTATTCACTATCCCAGCTTTCTCCTTCTTTATGGAATATTTAGGATTTCTCGTTTCTAGACAGATACAAAGGATGATGTTTTATAGCACTACAAGTAAATAAACAGAAGTCACCCAGTCTTAGGAGGATTTTTCCTTCCAGCTACCCTGTATCTAACCAGTCTCAGTTACACACAAAATAGCTCATTACAAACCTGAATTATAATAAGAAGACAAATTCCAGCACCCATTTCAGCAGGATCTCCATACATTCCAGTCATAACATACACAATGGCTTGCCCAATGGTAATAATCATCCCAAATACTAAAACAAGAGAGAAAGCAAATCCTTTAAAAAAATCTGCCCAAGTCACCTACCAAAGAAATCTCATTTCTAGCATCACTTGGCTGCTTTCCCAAGAATAAAAAATACACTTAATCCTTTTAATTGGAGCAGTGCTTACATTTCTGGGCTCCATTGAACAAGGCTCTGTCTTTTGGAGTGTCCCCAACTTCAATGATCTTTGCTCCTGCCAGCAGCTGCATGATCAGCCCCGAGGTCACGATGGGGGAGATGCCCAACTCCATCAGAGTGCCTGAGCAGGAAGAAAAATTAACACAATTGCCATTCAAGTGTAGTTCTGCAGGTCACAAAACTGTGCTGCAGATCCACAATGTCTGATAATGCCCATCTCAATACAGGATGTTTCTTCCACATCATCCTTCTGGAGACACAGCATTCCAAGAATTTACTTTTTGAAATCTTAAGCTGTCCTTCAGCTGATACCAGAGAGTTTTCTCTTATCTGAAGATGCTGACAAAACTAAAATGTTGAAAATGTGGGTTAAAATTAAGCAACTAGAAGCAGCAAGTGATCAAACTTCCCACATTTCCTAAGCTGGAGCTTAAAAGAAAAAAAAGTTTGGGTAAGAACACATTCTACAAGTTGAATATTCAGTTAAGCCAGGTCAAATTACTTGGCATCATCTTTTCCGTGGTCACTCAAAGGACCCAAATAATGCACCTTTTCTTTTCTGATGTTGAGTCACAATCTCCACTAAGCAGATCCCAAAGAATCAGCTCACAGTTCTTTTCAATTCTCTGCCTTTAAGTGCAACTCATTGTAGTGCAGCAGTGTTCCATCACAAAATTACTCAGAAAAATGTTAATAAACAACCATTTAGCCACTGTAGACTTGTGAAGTCTCAAAGAGAGCCAGGGACAGGGGAAGCCTGGCCTGGAACACCACACTGAAGATGAAAAGGAGTAGGAATATTCTATTTGTGGCACCTTACAGATCTATCTGTTCAGACATTTCTTCTGATCTTTTCCACCAGTGCTCAAGCCATCAGGTTCTTCCCTCTTATCCCTCTGCAGTAAAATTTTCTGAAGAGCCTTTAATAAATCATCTGAAGTTCACAGAGGGGTTTTGAGCACCTCCCCTATTGTCTGGAGTCTTCTTTTCATTGCTGCCTAACTCCCAGAGTCCTCACTTCAGCCTGAATTTTTAAAAATCTTAAGCCTTATTGCACAATTATTTTTCCTTTTGTTTTTCTTTTCAGCGTTTTCCCTGCTACCAAAATGTAACATGTGAAAGCACTGAAGTCATTATTATAATTTAGTTCTTTCATACCTGCATCCCTGAGTTTCCATGTCACATATTACATCCTCTCTCATGGAAATCTCTACTCCTACAAGAGCCAGAAAACGAGGATGTTGAAAAGCCTTTATCTCACATCCTCCAATGACCTCCAGTCGGTTTACTTGAAGGAAAATTCACTTTCCCACTCCTGCTTTTTTGTGGCTTTCACACTCTTTCTGGTCTTTCCTTGGCCTTTCCTTGCCCTTCTGCCTGGGCAGCACATTCAGTGCCACGCACCGCTCGTGAGGCACAGAGTTCCACGTGCAAATTCTGCAGCAGAGTTTGAAGCAGAAAACCCATTTACCTTAATTTCTGATGTTCACTGGTGTGACAAAATTTGCCATTCCTAAACAAACAGCACCTTCAGCGGTACAGAGGGTTGCACTGATTTTCTTACTTCCAGCCAGTTTTCCAAGCTCCAGATGAGATCAGTGTCCTCATTTAGAGTCAGGCATGACAGCTCACCCAGCTTAAGTTTCAGACTTGCAGCGTTAGTTTGAGTCTTCTCGTACATTTGGTTGGGTTCCACTTTTACAAGTCTAAAATTTAAACTTAGTTTGGTTTTGCTAAAATTCGTGGCTAATGATTTCTGCCTCCAGCTTTCCCACCTATGGAATTCCTCACCCGTAATGTTGCCAAACTGTTAACGAGGAGTAACCGACTCACACACATAAAGTATTTTCTAGTCAACACTCTCATATTGCACATCAGTGCTGCTCCCAACTGGAAAGCCAGAACATTCCCTGCCCCATATATCCATTAGGAAGAGATTGCTCTGTAATCCTAAACAGAATCATCCCAAAACTTGAGAATCAAGATTAACCTCATCTGCATGGCACAAGAAATCCCACTGCTATTGGTACTCCTCGAGTACCCATTTTAATTACATTTGTGTTAATGACCTCACAGCGTGTTTCACTGTGACATCTGGGTTGGGTGACATTTAACAGCTGACTGGTTTTCTCCTGGCCTGTTTATCCTGACAGAAAACAGGGAGAGGAATAACCCACTGACCTCTGTTTGACGCCAGGATGACTCGCATCCAGTAGAAGGGATCTGCAGAGTCTGATGACATGATTCCAAACAATGGGATCTGTCAAAGTGCACACAAGTATTAAACAGCAACACACAATTAGCATGCATTAACACAAACATCTTAACATGCAATGATTCAACTGTTACATTGTTTAGTATCTTTTTTTTTTTTAATTAAGTCAGCAGTACTGACACCATCTATTTTAATCCTCCAAGTGGGATATGACTCAGAGGACTAAACTAAGACCCTTCTACAGGAAAAAGCAGAAACCTCCAGAAAGAAGAAGTTTAAATACTGACGTTTTACAGCTGGAAATATGTTTTGAAATATCCCACATGGAACTGTCCAAGTTAGACAAGTTCTTACAAAGCTTCCAATATTCTGTGTGTCAATATTGAGAGATTTTGAGCTCTTCCAAATTCTTCTTAATCACAAAAAGAGTAGATTAGGAACCCAGGCAATCTTACAGATGGATTCCTGAAAGCTCTGATCTGCACCATCTGTTTTTTCCTTATTCAACTACTATAACCTTTCATACACATTCAAAATTCTAATTGTCCATATATCCAGTGCTAGTAAACACAAACTCCATGATCTTCCAGCTCTGGTGTCACTGCCACCTCCTCCTTCCAACAAACAGGCAGGTCCAAGAGCTGGGTTTTAGCCTTTAACCAGTCCTTCAGAGCTGAAAACAAAAACTGTTAAACTACTGCTCCATCCCAGAGTCTGGAATGGCTACATTAATAAATATAAGCTAAAAAGCCTAATTCCAAAACGTACTGTTCATTTTAAACCTTCCAAGAGATCCTGAAAAATACATATCAGGTAATAATACATGGATTCTCCCTTTCTTCAGTATCCAGGTACTCTCTGAAGAAAAGCAAATCACCTCCACTGTTTACAACCCGAGCCCAGGTTCTGGGAACGCCCACAGCTCTGAGTAATAAAGAGCACATAAATGTTTACACAGACCTGAATTCTGTGGGGGTTTCAGCCAACAATTTCACCAGCACAGTCACAAAAACCCCAAGTTCTAAATGTCAACATAAAGCACCTCACAAAAACATTCTTCTGCCGTCTTTACAATCCATCAGCTTGCTCAAGAGGAGCTGGGTAAAAACAATCACTCGAGTTTCATTTTCATCCTTGTCACCGCTAAAATTGAGATGCAGCGATGAACAGAGAGTAAACAGTGCATGGAACTGCTCAGTTTGTTTATGCTGCTCAGTAAATAATTACCCTGGCTGTTTACCCTGCAGCCACCACCATCATTTGATGGGACCCCCATTACAAGAAAAGAACATTTTGTATTTCAGACTCAGTCAAGAGCAGTGGTTTCTGAAAACGTGCATAATCAGTAATAAAGACCATTTCAGAGGATCAGAACAGAACTTCAAATACTTAACCATAAAAATACGTCACTGAAACTGGGAGGTCAACACCAAACAAGAGCTTTTTGCACTTTTGGAGTATTTTAAAAGCACAGAACACGAGTTTTCTGAACACAGAAAAGACTGGTACCCACCTGGCAGCACACCAAGAAAATGAAGAGCGTGATGGCCGTCCATAGCACCTTCTCCCTGAACTGGATCTGCAGGAGAGTGGAGATCAGTGTGGTCACTGTGGGCAGGACTTTCCCTGCACTCTCCCCTCAGAACCAAATGCTGCATCATTCAGAACCCGATGTGAAGATACTGAACCAGAAGGCAACATTCCTCACTGGAATTCATTTTTAATGTCATTTCAGGTTTTAGGGACAGGCAGAGAGAACTTCTGTGGGGTCTGGCAGACAGCACAGTGACAGGCAGTCAGTCAGTGGAATATGTTTTATCTGTAGTATTCCAATGCAGGGGGTATTTACAGAAAAGCAACAGAGTGGCTGGTACACAAACCAGAACAAACATGAAAGATTAATGCAAAAAAACTTATCTTCAGTGATTAGTGCCCTGGGCTACAACACAGTGGAGGCTCTTTTGTAAGGCTGGAAGTTATTAAGCACTGTTAAGCTTTTAAAGAGATTTAACTGCTGTGAAGACAAGTGATAAAACCCAGAAGAACCGTGAGTTTTGGACAGCAATTCAAAATATTTAGAATTAAGTTCTTCAAAGGGTGTTAGAGGAAGCTTAAATTCACCATTATGTCCATGGACGCAGAGCTCAAAATAATGTTTAAAGACTCTTTGTTTCCCTCCAAGGTATTTTTATTCATGTGGAGTACATATTATTTTAAAAAGAATGCCAGATCAACGATCATCAGTCACTAATTCACTGAGGAGGATCTCAGGGCCACAACATTGGAGGCAACAAGAAAAAAATATTAGTGCCTGGTTTTGCATGTACTGAACACCCACAAATGAGAAACTACAAACCAAGGCAGCAGCAGGAAAAGGAAGCCCAGACAGTAGTTACATCTTTGTAAGTGAAACCACACACTTAGAAGAAAAATAACCCAAGTAATTTAATTTATTTACCGATATTGCCTCACTCTTAAAAGAGAGCAGAGGCTAAAAATACTTCAGTACGAAGTTATAAAAAGAAAAATAGTGACAGCAGCAGATAAATCCAAACAATACCTTGTGTTAGCGCTGACCCACTTTACCCAGGGCTGCCTTGAATTCCACACAATTCAGATTTTAAGCACAGACTTCCCAAACCCAAAATGCTTAACCAAATCATCCCTGCAGCCTCACAGTTACCCCTGGCTTTGGAGGCATCGGTCAAGGTCTACAACTGCTCTGGTTCTCCCTCCAGCTGTGGGGAATGTGAGTGTTAGAGGAATTCTGCACCACCCCAATCACAGCTACTCACGAGGAAAACAGTCTCTGTGAGTCGAGAAGACAAAAAAAATAAAAAGGAAGCACCCAAACCCATATGCCAGGAACAGCAAAACACAGACTGGTACCAAAATATTCCAGCCACAAATGCTTCCAAGCACAGGGACAGTACATTTCTCCATCTGATCTGATTCAATTGGACATTTTCTTCCTTTGACATTTTCCTTGAATCGTGTGAAAATGAAGGGACTTAATCACCATCATCTTGGTGCTCTGAACAGAGTGTTCTTCCTAGGAAATCTGTGCATGAGGGAAATATGAGCCCATAGCAGTAACTACAAAAGTAGCAATCGCTTCTGTTAATCAAGTTGGCCTGAACACAAATGCAACACTCCCTAGAGGCAGAAAAAAACACTTCACTCATCAACAATAATGGCAAAATGATTCAATGAGAGCCCAACTGAATCAAAACATCATCTTCACTTAACAATCAATACAGGTTTAATGAAAACAGATGTCTTCTTCTATTTGGTTATCTTCACTCCTCGTCCTGGCCTTACAACCCATCCACTGAACCCATCACTCATCGTGTCTGCCAGTGACAGCTTGCAAGGAAACAATAAATTACAGGGAATTACAGTTATGGAATGACCCAAGTCACCTGAGAGACTACACACACACAGGGAATGGGACTTGAAGTGGTCAAAGGGCTCTTCAGCCTGGGAAAGATGTTCCAAATTGCATTTTCACTTCAAATTTGCACAAAGCCATTGTCGAGACAGCGACCCAAATAGCAGCAAAGTGACCCAAATAGAGAGGACAGCAATCTTGGCACCTCTCTGGTCATCCTTCATCTGCTGAGGGAGGGCAAGGACAGATCAAGCTCCTCTTCCTCTCAGGCAAATACCACCTGTTGGTGAGCTTTACAGAAACATCAGGATCTGCAGATTTGTTTCAGCTTTCTCTCCTCACTCAGCTCACTGGGCATTGCTGATAATCCCAGATGTGCCATAAATCAGCCCCAAAAGATTGCACCAAGGTTCACCACCGCAGAGACAAACACGGGGACCTGCCACCCAGACCTGCTGCATCCAAACCTCAGCACAGGCTCTGGCTCTGGAGATTCCTGCTCTGAAAACACCTTTGTCTGACCTAAATAATTTGTGTAGAAGTCTGCCCCAAGATTGGAAGATGCTGGAAAGCAAGAAGGTAGGACAGATGGAGCAAAGAGCCAGGGGATAGATCCCAATGTTTCTAAAAATCGATTTCAGAAAGGCACAATCATCAGTTTTTACTGGATCCTCTCCATTCAATCCAGCAGGCTCAGCTATGGTCAGTGGCATAAACCTCCCTGCAGCCAATCCTGACCTTTGGGAATGTCTCATTAGCAAAAGAGGATTCTCTTGGATGGTGTCACGTTCCCAGCTATGCATTTCCTTCAAAGAATATAAAAACCAACCTGTAGGAATTTTCATGGAAGTCACAACAATGCATATTAGTGCAATTTGTTACTCTAATTAGAACATTTGTTACCTGAGCAGTGAGTACTTGCTTGAGTTTTGGAAGTAAAAAATGGTATTTGGTTGGGGTTTTTTTTGGACAAGGCAGGTCTCTTTGTGATCTGTAGGAATCTACTGATTTTAATCTAGAAAATGTGCCAAGAAACGGGAGGGGCTTCTGGGGCTGGAGGAGTTAGAGAGATGAGCTGTCAATGAACTCCTTGATTTCAGGTCAAAGAGAAATGTCACCTCCGGCTGGTGAACGGGGAGCAGTTACCTGAACTGTATCACAGATCACCTTCCCACTTCAGCAAGGTGAATCACACCTAGGGGAGTAGGAAATAATACGTGGGAAAGAAAGAACCAAATCTGTGGTTCCTGAATCACAGAGCAACCCTTTTCAAAGTAATATGTTGGCTCAAAGCCAACAGTGGTATCCACAGAAAAATAGAGCTTGAAAACTCTGTTCTAGTATATTAAAATAGATCCAATCACATGGAGCTGAAACTAAATAAACTCAGTCTAGAAATGAGATTTTTTTAAAAAGAAATAGCACAATTACAGAGGGGAACAACTTAACAGAAGGCTGCTAAGAATTCATCATCAGGGTAATCTTTTACCTTAACATGGGTTCCCCCTGCTCCAAAGAATATGTCCTGATTTAGGGCCCACTGTCTGTGTTAGGGCTTGGATAGAATATCCCAACATTCTCTTACCTCTGAACCAATAAAAGTAAGAACATAACGTGGCACTCACTTTTCTTTCTGGTTTCTGGATTTCAGGCAGCACTGCACAGAATGGCTTAATGACTTCCAAAAATTTTACTGTTCCAGAAAAACAAACACACACACAAAAAGAAGAGAGAGAAATACATTCATGAACCTTTGTGAATTTATAAAACCTCAGAGAACTTGGTTTAGATTCCAAAACTGTCTGAAAACTAATACCCTCTTAAAACAAGCTGAAAACAAGGCAAAAAGGTGAAAGAGAATTCTTGTTCTAATCAGAACTGACCCATTCCTTTTTCCACAGCTGGAATAATTTTAGAGAAGAAGAGGCACTGCATAGTATCACCAGAAGTGAACTAAATTGTATTCCATCTAAAAATAAGCGACCTAGTATCAGTCTGTGCTAGTTAAATACAGAAACAAAGGACTCTGACATCAAAAAGTATCCATGTAGAGATTAGATTCTTGTGTTTTAGAGAAGTATTTAGCTGGGAAAAAAATAATTCAATCGCTAAAATACATTTAGAAATTGTAATTTAAATCACCGGAACACTTGTTTTGATCAGAACTTCAGGGGATTTTATTTTAGCTCTCTCTTTGCAGTTTCTCCTTTCAAAACACTAAAAAGCTCAACAGTTTGAGCTCTTTTTCTGGAAAGAGAGATGAAATCAGTTTAAAAGAAAACCATAAAATCGAAGCACGCGTGTTTGGTGGGAAATTTGTCCTTCAAAACTTGGACATTATTCCCAGCCCCAACACACTGGGACAGATGGGAGGAATCAACCACTGGTTCCTCTTCGGAGAGAATGCATTTATTACACTGTAAAATGCATTTATTACACTGTAAAATGCATTTATTACACTGTAGAATGCATTTATTATACTGTAGAATGCATTTATTACAGTGTAAGTAACATTTGGATCAGAATGCCATATTTATATTTACGCTTTGCTGTGACATCTCTCTCCTTTCCTTCTCCCAAGCCCTCGGAGAGCTCATCAGAAGGGCCACAGCTCCACCTGAACAGAGAATCCCAGAATGGGCCAGGCTGGAAGGGACCACAGTGGTTCATCCGCTCCCACCTCCTGCTCCAGGAGGGCAGGGCCATCCCCGAGCACATGGCACAGGACTGTCCAGACACTTCTGGAACATCTCCAGCGAGGGAGACGCTCCACACCCTCTCTGGGGAATCTGTTCCAGTGCTCGGTCACTGCACAGGAGACAAGTTCTTCCTCACGTTCAGGTGGAACTCGCCGGGCATCCCATTGTGCCCGGTGCCTCCTGTCCTATTGCTGGGCACCAGCGAGCAGAGCCTGGATCCATCCCCTTGGCACCCTCCCTTCAGGTACTTATATATGTGTGCATGCAGCATACAGTCTATATACCATATATACAGTGTATATAGCTACAGACTGACACAGTGGGGCTAGAGGGGATAACCCCCCCACACACACAAAGCGGTGCCGGCAGCCCCGCACCTGTGCGGGAGCGGGTCCCCGCCGCGCCGGCCCTGCCTGCGGCGGCACCGGGGCCACGGCGGCGCCTCCCCGGCCGTCACCCCCCTCCTGCCCGCGCTGCGCTCCCCGCCGCCCCGGCCCTGTGCCCGCCGTGCCCGCACTCACTGCCCATGGCGGTGCCGGCCCGGCCGCGCTCCCGGCGCCGTCCCCGCCGCTGTCGCCGCCGTCACGTGACGGGCGCTGCGGACGGGCCGTCCCTCCCCGCCCGTCCCCGCCCCGCCCGGGGCGGTATCGCCCTCACGGAGCGGCCCCCGCGCCCTTCCCCCGGCCGAGGCGGCGGGCCGGGCGGGCAGCGGGCCGGGATGGCCGCGCTGGGTGGGTGGGGGTGGGTCAGGCTGCGGGCACAAGCACCGCGCTCCCGGGGTGCTCCGCGCGCCGCGAGGGGCGGCCCCCGCACCGCCCCTGCTCGGCTGCTCCTGAGGGCGGGAGGAGCCCCGTCCTTCGCTCGGCTCTCCTCGGACCCCAGGGCGGCTCTGGGGAGGCTTCCTCGGCGCTGTTGGTGCAGCCGCGTTCATGTGGAAGGCACAGGTTGAGTGGCTTGGTGCCGGAGTGTTTTATTAATACCCCAGTCCACCGTGCCGGTGGATGGATGTGGTAGTTTCTGCGGGGGAAAGGACATTGGGGCTCTGGAGCGTGTCCAGGGAAGGGCAGCAGAGCTGGGGAAGGGTCTGGAACACAAGTCCTGTGAGGAGCGGCTGAGGGAGCTGGGGGTGTTTAACCTGGAGAAAGGGAGGCTGAGGAGTGACTTTGTCACTCTCTACCACTCCCTGACAGGAGGGTGTCCCCAGGTGGGGGTCAGGCTCCTCTCCCTGGAGACCAGCGACAGGACAAGAGGACACAGGTCTTAAGCTGCACCAGGGGAGGTTTAGATTGGACATAAGGAGGAATTTCTTCACAGAAAGGGTGATTAGACATTGGATTGGGCTGCCCAGGGAGGTGGTGCAGTCACCGTCCCTGGAGGTGTTCAAGGCACTCAGTGCCCTGCTCTGGTTGACAAGGCGATGTTCAGTCGTAGGTTGGACTCGGTGATCTCAGAGGTCTTTTCCGACCTAATCGATTCTGTGAAGTGAACCTGACAACGCAGACTGACTGGCAACAGGTGTGATCCCCATCCCAGCACCATCAGTACCTTCTTCAGAGCCCTCTGTCACAACAGCCAGTGGTCTGTAAAATTAGGATTATCAGAATTTACTGCGGGATTTAGATATGACAATTTAAAATAGTATTTATTCTCAGTAACTCACCCCTGTGCACAGATGTGTGTTCTTTCTGTGTTAGGTGAAGGCACGAAGAACACGAGATATGTGAAGGATTAACAAACTTGAATCTATATATTGGTTTGCACTCTGCATTCCCTGAGAAATCCTCTGAACCAAGACCTCGCTACAGTATCTTTAAACAATTTTGTTCAATAGCCTCTCTTATCTGAAATCACTTCAAAAAGCTTTTTCTTCCGGTTTAAATGGTCATAATTTTACAAATACTAATGAGCAGTTCTGCAGCAATTATTTTCACCCATAGTTCTTGAATAGTTTGACAAATGCCCATAATTAATGGGCCTGGCCTCTTACTTGTAGATTATAATCTCCAAATAATTGCTGGGTTAATAGCTGAGCTTCAGGAAATTTCTTGTAATTGCCCTTTGTTCAGAATTTTAGTCATACTTATCTTAATTTAATGAACTTCTATAGGTCTTGTTGGCCCACTCCTCACAGCAAACCCTCCTAAGTCACTGGCCCTGGTTGTGGTGATTGATAAAAAGCCCATGAGGTTTCTTTAGTCCATAGTGACACAGATGCACCACCTCAGGGATGCTGAACAAATATTTCTGTGTCACTCACGAGTGGGTTCCCAGTGACAGAAATAAAAAAAAAATCCAAATGCAGTATTGTTTTCTTTGCTTATTCAAAGTACTACTGTGTTAAGAATGTTGAACCTTCAAAATTCAGGTTAGATTTTTCAAATCTAACCCAACATCCTGTTATTAAAAAAATTGTTTTAAAATATTTGTTTTCCCGACGTGTCTTCCTCCTGTCACCGAGAGTTTCTGCTGTTTTTAATGAGCTGCTCAACCCAAGAGCTCATTCCTTCAGTGCCTTTACTTTTTTTTCCTTCTATTCTCACACTTCTCTGAAAAGCCTGACACACCACAATGCACAAGTCCTGTAACACTTTGTCTTTTTAGTCAGCTCCTCTGCTACCCAACAAAGCTTCACTTCTCCCTGTGTTAATGACCCACGAAGCTCTCCTGTCCACGGACTGGCACCAGCCCCGTGAGCCACTCTCCCATCTCGTGTCCCATTCCATCCCGCACTTCCCTGAGTGGTTTCCTGCACACTCAGCAAACTTGCTCCCCCTGCCAAGCAGTGCTCTCCCCTGGAGCTTTTGCAAAGAAAAGGCTCTTCCCCCACAGGGTGGCTGGGCACTGGAAGAGGCTCCCCAGGGCAGTGGTCACAGCCCCAAGCCTGTCTGAGTTCAAGAAGCATTTGGACTCTTTCAGGCACATGGTGTGGTTTGGGGGTTGTCCTGTGCAGGGCCAGGAGTGGGACACAGCGATCTGTGTGGGTCCCTTCCAACTCAGAATATTCTGCGACTCTGTGGTTCCAATTTCTGCTGCTTTTCCCAAATGCTTTTTGGCAAAAGCACTGCAGCCCTGTGCAGGGAGAGCCACACCTACCTGCAGAGCAGAGCACGGTGCACAGATGGAAAACAGCCTCGTGTGCATCCAAAATCGATGGGAGGAACAGCGTAAGCCCTGAAGTCAGCGAGTGCTTTGTGCTGCTCCTGGGAGCTGTCAGCCCTCATGGAAGAGCAGCGTTCTGCAGGCAGGCTGCGTCAGCAATACCGAGGAGAGCTCTCCCTTCCTACCCCAGTATCCCTGGGGAGCTCCAGGGCACCCCCAGTCTGGGCAGGGGGCACTGAGCAGCTCTGCAGAAAGAGCTGTGTCTCCCCCCAGCAGCATCAAACAGGCTCGGAGCACTCGAGCATCCTCTGCTTGGTTGGATAACCTGACCTGCAGAGCCTGTGGGGGAGTGGTGGAGCACAGCAAGGTCAGGTTTGGGCCACGTGAAACTCAAAACACAGGGTCTGTTCTTCCCTTGTGTGCACTGTCAGAGTGAAAAAAAAAAATGTGGGTTTATGTAATCACCAGTCAAGGCTGGTGAATGTGCTCTACAACTTCCTTGGCTACAGCTGCAGCCAAAGCAATGTTTCTCCTCAGCCTCCTTTTTCTACTGATCAGCAGTAATTTTAAACCAGAATACGCCTTGATTAGATAAAGCTGTTCAGGATGAGTAAGAAGTTGTGAAGTTTGCTAGAGCAAAGTGGGACAAACATGATTTCACATCACAGGGATGGATGTGCTAAAGCAGTGACGTGAAACTCCACAGGGCAGGGATTACAGAGGTTATTTCAGGGTCACATGGAGTTAATGAGTCAATGTGTGTATTAACAAGAAGAAAATACCAAAGCAGGCTTCAGAGATGATTTTGGGAGCTGAGGTGCCTGAAGTCTTCAGGAGCCATCCTGCAAGGTTTCCCCCCAGAACCCTGCTTTAACAACTCATGCACCAACAGCCACAACAGATTTCATTCCTGGCTCACAGGAAAAGAAGAAAGGGAAAATTCACAACACTCTGCTACAGAAATGGCTCAGTCCCAGGCATGGGAAGCATTTATTTGACCAAACAGCACTAACACTTGTGTGGAAACAGAAGAAACAGAGCCTGTTTCTACACATGCACCATCCCAGGAACTGTAAAGTGCAGATAAGCAGCGTGATATAAGGCATTCTATAGTCACCTCACCAATCTGTCCCCTAGACTGGATTTTTAACTTTAAAAAGGTGTTTTTGTAGAAAACAGTACAAGAGAACAAGAAGCATCAAGAGTAACAGGCATCACTTCTCATCATCAGGTATTCCCTGACATGAAAAAATTCCTTCATCATTACCAATCTCATTCCACCCTTTTTGGTTTCCATTTTGGAGAACCAAGAGTCTTAAGGATCTGGCCTTTGTTCTTTTTCACAGGAGGCACCAAACACGACTGACAGCAGGAGCAGTCTGTCTGTCTGTCTGTCTGAAAACTTAGAGAAATGTCTTGCTCAGAACATCTTCCTGCTGCTGGGTGTGGAGGGTTCCAATGCCAACAGCCGGGGCGGGCAGGGGAGGTCTGCTCACACAGCGCAGCTGGAATTGGAGTTGGGAGGCAATGATTAATGGAGCACAGGAACAGGGCTGCACCTCGAGCTCCTGATGCCATGGGGATATGTCTGCTGGCAGATACCACCAGCTGGAAGTAATGCAGGAAGTTGTCCTCCATCTCCCATAGACCGTGGCCCAAAGGACATTATAGTGCATGACATGCCAGAGCAAATGGCAGCTTTGGATTCTTCTCCTGCTCATTTCAAGTGTGCTGTTTCCTACCTGGGATCTTCCATTATCCTGTCTACTTTGATTAAACACAGAGCAAAATAAAGCTCCAGTCCTGCCCATCACCAGTAGTGCTATAAAGAGCAGAAGCAGCTTAAATTAGAACACGTGTTTGGTTTAGGCATCAGGATTAGGTTTTTGTGTAAGCACCACAGAATTTTGCATTTAAGGAGAACTTTGAACTTCATAACACTTGTGGACATCTTATCTTACCTTAAGCCCCAGCTGCTTCTCAAACCGTGGTGACACAAAGGACCATGGCCCCATGTTCTGTGGTTCCTCCTGACTCCAGGTGAAGACTAAAGGAAGGATAAGGGTACATTACAAATGCACACATTTATCTTTTCAGCAGCTCAAGGAGGACAGTTTTTTCTTTCTTTAGCACCTCTACCTTTTTTTGCCTTGGCACTACCTCTACAATGAAGGCTGAATTCCAGACTGAATTCCCTTCTAGGTCCCTGCTTGCTGAATTCAAACCCAAAGTGTGTCCACCAGAGGGGTGCATTGTGTGTACATTCAGTTTTTCTACTGCTGTTTTCAAAAGCCACTTAAAGGGCTGGACTGCAAAGATCAGTGCAAAAAACCATCCCAAATGGCTCACTCTGATTTTCAGTCCTACTTTTTGGAAGCAGAGAGACAATAGCAAAGAGACAAGTTCTTTTAGCACAAGACATAAACATTTGTACTATCCCACTCCAGAAACATGTGGATGTACGAGGGGAAGAGCAAAGTGGAAAAAGCCATTACAGCTCTTTATCCTAAAAGGCAGGCAACAGATTCAGTTCAATACTTCAAAGACACCAGAAACACAAAGGTAAAAAGTCTGGCTGACCTTTTGCTTGGCTGTATTTGCTCAACTCTTGCTGTAGAGCCTCCAGGGGGAAAGGACAGAGCTCCTCAAGTCTCAGAAGAGCTGTGCTGTGCTGCTTCTCTCCCAGCATCTCTCTTTGCTTCACCAGAGCATAGTAATGCTTTCCAGAGCACAGCACCACTTGGGTGACACTGAATTAAAACAAGAATGTTTCCAAGTTCAGGGTTTTACAGAAACTCCCTGCAGAACAGCTTCCACTTCCAACAAAAACAACCAGCCAAACTTCAAAGACATCTTTATGAAGCTGAATTGCTTCCCTAGACCCTCGTTTCTCTTCTTTGCCTTCTCTTGCCTCCCACTCCCCTTCAACCTTTATCACTCTCTACAGCTACCTGGAAGGAGGTTGTAGATAGGTGGGAGTTATTTCTCCCGAGCAACACACAACAGGACAAGAGGAAATGGCCTCAAGTTGCATCAGGGGAGGTTTAGGTTGGATATCAGGAAAAATTTCTTCACTGAAAGGGTCAAGCACAGGAACAGGCTGCCCAGGGGAGTGGTGGAATCACCATCCCTGGAAGTATTTAAAAGTCTAAATGTGACACTTGGGGACATGGTTTAGTCATGGACTTGGCAATGCTGGGTTAAAGTTGGGACTTGATGATCTTGAGGGTCTTTTCCAACCTAAACGAATCCATGAATCGGGAAACAGCTGCTCCCAGTGACTGTCAGCCAAGAACATGGAGCAGAATAGTGCCAGTTGTGTCAGTAACTACAGACACAACCTCCCTGTGGGGGCAAGGGCCAACTGCCTGAACACTTCAGTGCTTTGCAGACAGGTATGGATACTACCAACAATTACCACAAGGAAAGGAGAGGAACAAGTGAAACTAAGTCACCAACCACAGAGTCACCTCTTTCGTACCACTTCAAATTTGAGGTGTTAGGTAGGAGAAAGGGACAGGACATCCCTTCTGAGCTTCTCCTCTAAGCAAGTGAAGCTACCTTTTAGGATCTACTGAGGAGTCACCAATGACAGGCTTGAATGTTGTCCCTGGGGCCATTTCTTCAAAACTCGACACCGCAGCCTGCATGGGGGAGAGCTGGAAGTTACCAAGTCTTGCTGCCTTTCCCTCAGGCCAGAGTCAGAAAGAATACTGAGACAGGGTTTTGGTAGGTACAAAATACAGTCTTCCCTCTCCCTCCTATTCCCATTCCCGCTCCCAATGAAAGGTGGAATGATAAGCTTCCCAAGAACAGTCAGACCTAGAATCATCTCTACTTCTAGCTCCCCTCCACTCAGCTTTAACCCTCAGCCTACTCAGTCCCAAACAGGAAAAACTCACTAAAGCAGAGATCAGAGAACACAGAAGAACAACAAAGAGAAAGGGGAAGAGAACACAAAAGAGTAGGAAGAAGAGGAGGAAAAAAACCCAAAAAACAAAAAAGAAAAGGTATTTTTCAGCTTACTGGGAGCCTGAGTAACACTTTGGGAGAAGCAACAATGAGAGGTTTCCTGAAGTTTCGGACCATTTGCCTCCGGAGTAAATGGAAATACTGTGCTGGGGTGGTGGGATGGACAACTGACATGTTGACCTGGTCCCCATCAACTCCCTCTTCTGAGCTGTCACACATCTGCATAGGGGGGACACAGCAATACCAAAGAAAGCAGTGAGACAAATATGCAGGAAAAAATCCAGGCACACAAGGCACCCCGAGCTGTACAGGAACAGGTGAACAAATATTCCAGTTCAGATGACTGCAAGGGAAGAAATTCAGAGAAGAAATGGCTTTAGCATTCAACTGGTAAGATCACATCTGAATGCCTCCTTCTAGCACACTGCAACCAGGGTATGACAGATTTTTTAACAGGTCACAACTTCTTCATGAGAGTGGCAGCAACTCCCTAAAAGGCTCCAAACCCCTTCCTTTACTTAGATGAAACAGCTTTTGTTTGCTTACTATAGTCACAAGGGCACAACAATGAATTTTTAGGCTTTTTGTTTTTTGTTTTTTCAAATGTGCCACAGATTCACTGTCACCACAGGTGGTGGGTACCTGCAAGAACCGTTCCATCCTGCAGGACGAGTGCTCAGGGCCTGCACCGTCGTAGCCATGGGGAAGAAGGATCACTATCCCGCTCTGCAGGAGCCACTTGGCCTCGCCTGGAAACACAGAACGAGGAGGAAGGAAAGGATGATTTCCACAGAACACATTACTTTGCACAAACTACTCAGCAAAAAAAAAAAAAAAGGCAGATTTTCACATCATTAAATAGAAGCCTGAAACATGCTGCTGGCGTGCTGGATTTTCTAAAAATGTGCAGAGTACAAATGATTCATTTTTACATACATTATCTCCTCGTACACTCACCTCCAGAGATGAAAGTGTCAAATATTATCTGGGCTCCATTAAAGAAGTCTCCAAACTGAGCTTCCCAAATTGGCAGTAACTTAGGGCTCTCAATGCTCATTCCATATTCAAAACCAAGCACAGCTTCTTCAGACAAGGGACTGTTACTCACCTAACGAAAGGAAATTGTTGGGAGGGCTGGGCAAGGAAGAAGACAACCCAGGTTAAGAACCCTCAGAAGCAGGCACATCAGCGCTGGGCACACTGGGGACATGCACTGCTAAAGGTGACTGATGGTCACCTCTGGTTTGCTTTTGGCTGAAGACACTGAGGGGAAAAGAATAACACCTGATCTCTCAAAGAAAAGCAAAACCCCTCGTTAAAGTTGTCATTTGTAACTACGAGGAACAGGAGTGCCCTGACAGTTGTCCTGCCCCTGGATCTGGTGTTTGCCAGAACAGACAGGCTGCCTACACCTATCCCAGCAGCCTGTAAAAATGCATTGTTTCAACACAACAGGAAGAAGGTGGTCTTGTGGACCACAGAACCCACCTCTAGGAATCCTTTCTGGTCTGGGGACATGTGGTTCAGAGGGATGTAGGTGTCATCTGTCTCTTGGCAAACCAACATGGCGTGTCGTTGGCTGAAGGTTCCTCTGCCAACGTCTTGTCCACTTAGTCTGATGTTAAACCCTTGCCAAACAATAAACAAACACTGAATTAACAAGTCATGTAAAAGGAAAACATGCAGGACAACGACTCTCCACGTCCAAAGTGTTGTATCTCTTGTTCTGTCTCTTCTTGGATTTCTCCCATTAGCAACATCAAATCTGAGATTAAATTCTTAACCAGCAGCAGCTCCAAGTCACAAGCACAGAGATGCTCTGACATTTCTCTTTTCTCCTCCCTGCAGCCAAGAATCATTTGGGGGTAAACGGTTCAATTTACTGAAGCAAACTGCAAACAACATGCAGTCTGCATCACAGGTAAATGGAGATAATGAATTCAGGCAAGAAATAGTAACATCAAACACTCACAAGTACTTGGGAGCCCCACTGATTTCAGCTGCGTTGCTCACATGCTTAGCTCTAACGGTGTTGGGGAGTAGGAGGGAGCAACAATTCTCTGAAGACATTTAGGACTTAATCTACAAATGTTAGTGACATACAGGATTCATATTTACCTTCTCTTGCAAACTATCAAATTGATACATCATATCAGTCTTTTAACTTAGAAACACCTAAGAAGTCTATTGTTATCCTTCATTGACATTAAAGCAGAAGTATTTTATTGTCTGCTGTTGCCTCCTACCTTGGCTCAGCAGAGAACCAAACGCTAAAGTTTCAGCTGTTGCCCAGTCCAGCTTTTTTCCTTCTTCCATTTTTTGAACTCTTGACTAAACAAGTAAAGAACGAGGAAAAGTTACTATTTTGTCTTTTTCCATCTGCAGCTCTTTTGGTGGCACAGACCAAGATCAGAAGCTAAGAAGAAAATAAAACACTATGGAGAGAAATGCTATATTCCTGCAGCCAGCTTAGGTTGGGTTGCAATACACAGTCTTATTTAAGCACGTCCTGAAGGTTGCCTGAGGGCCACAGAACCATGGATGATCCATGTGTTCACCTACCAGTCAACAAACTGCACTGACAAATTAATCTTAGTCTGAAAATATTAAAAATCACAGCACGGAGTGCAGTCTTGACAGAATGCTGGTCTGTCTGGTTAGCAGCGATGAAAGATGTCAGGTGTAAGTATTTCAGTCTCCAGAACTCTTCCCTGTTCTGGCCTGCAGAGCTGCAGACAAATGATCACACCCAGCTGTGAAGTTCTTGCCTTGGGCTGGGAAGACCAGAACATCAGCCTTCTGAAATAATCAGCTCACAGCCTCTCTGCAGACACCTGCAACGTGCTCATCATTCATCAAAGGGCATAACCCCAAAGCAAACACAAAGTTAGGAGCTATCAAACCCTGGCTGTCAGACTTGGCCACGTGTTGTCTGATGTTTACATATATAAACCATAAACCACTCACTACTTGGCTGTGGAAACTGTGTACACAATTAGCAGGTTCCTGTCTCATTCTCTCACAAAGTACTGATTCTAATCAATAAAGTATATAAATCTTAAGTCATTTATCATACCAGTTTCTATTAGTTGTAAGAATAATAAACTGTATTTTCTATAAGCTTTTTTTCTTCATTGCAACAGAACTTTCTTGAAATAACAAAATAACGCATATGGTCAGATTTGGCGGGGGAGAAGACACGTCTTTCTTCAAAACTGGAGGAAACATGGCACAACCTGAGCCCTGAAACACTGAGCTGGTGTTTTTCCTAGAGAATACCACGCTACTCTCCAACTGGCAGTGTTACCGTGTTTGGATTTTTCCTGTAACAGGTCGTGCCTTTGAGCAACGGCACCAGAGAACATCACCACCCCCACTGACCTGCGCGTAGGTCTTCAGGAGGTGGCTGTGCACCCGCAGCTCCTCGGGCACCTGCACGGACTTGGCTCCGATGAACTGCAGCAGTGGCACGGGCATCCCCGTGTCCCAGGTGCTGATTGTAGCAGAGGGCTCCACCAGGCCCTTCCAGTGGCCCTGCAGGTTGGTGGCGGGCGGGCTGTACGACGCCGTGTTGGCAAGGTGGTCGTTGAGTTTGGAATAGTAGGTGGTCTTTATCTCGGCCACTTCAGCCTCGGTCACGAGCCCGGCCGCTGTCAGGTGCTCTGCGTACGTGTCTGGGATGCTCTTACGGGATCTGTCCGGGAGGGAATCAAACCCCAGAGAGATGAAATCTGGAAACACTGTCACAGAACAAGAAAATATCACCTTACTACAGCCAGGTACTGTGGGAAACTGAAATAAACGGTGTCCTGGTGCATCACACTCATTTGCATCAAGTTTGCTTTCCTGGCATTTTCAGAAAGGTAACAGATCTCTTGGATATGTGTTTTACAGTCTCTTATTTAAAAAAAAAAAAAAAAGCCTAGAGTTGGCAGTTACAGGTAAAAACAAGTCCAAACCCCCTCTGTGCTATCGTGCATATTTTCTTCAGAGAAATTCACATTAGGATTTCAGCATTAGATGAGAACCAAGCCATCCATTCCATAAATACTTCACCTAAAACACCAGAATTCACCAGCCAGTAAATTTTTGTGTGTTTTTCTTTGGGGATAAGGATGGAATCTGAACACATTTAAATGCTCATGAAGATGAGTCCCAGCAGGACTGGGCAAAGACAAGACAAACATCACGCTGGCTTCCTGCCCCATTTCCCACATTACCCAAGCTTCCCCTTGGCACCCAGAAGACACCTTTGCCTTCTGATTACTAATGGTCACGAATTTGAAATCCAAGAGCTGTGTGCTCCAAGGGGCATCAAACTGCATGTTTAAGAACCAACAGCAGTGATTACCCTCATTAACATCTCGTTATCAGACTCTCGCCTCACTCAAGGGCTGCTGACAATGTAGCTGCACTTACGTGATGGTGTCCTGTCCATACGGTGGAGGATCTTAATTACACAGAAACTTCTGCTGCAGCAGCAGTAGTGAGTGGGTGCAGACCCAAGCACACTCCCTTACCTGATGATCTTGTACATGCAGGGGTTGGTGAAGAAGGGCTCATCCAGCTCGTTGTGGCCCCACTGCCTGTAGCACAGCAGGTCCACGATGACGTCCCTGCGGAAGTGGCGCTGGTACTCGACGGCCAGGCGGGTGGCACGGACAACTTCCTCAGGATCATCCCCGTTCACGTGGATAACTGCACACCCAACGATCTTACCTGCCCAGGGATTGGGAACATAACAGGAATCACGCCCAACCCCTCCCAGAGGAAACACACACACACCTACTCTGCTGAAATTACAGACAACTCACGAGACGTGAAGGTAACAACAAGGGTGCAACAGATGCCTGTTGTGATGGGGGCTGGGGTAAGGAGAGGAGTCTTCCCTGAGAGACAGTGCAATCAGCCCAGCCTGTTGTATTTGAGACAGTTTGAGCACAACTTTTTTCACAAGCATTAAATTCCCAGAGGACTTTCTATACACAATTCCTTAATGTTATTGATCTGGAAGTCTGCAGGGAATGGGAGAGAACTATTTGATCGCTCCTCTTTCAAACAAAAATTAAGTTTTGTTTCCTTCCTATCCTAAGCTATCACTACTATGAATTCACACAGGCCAGAAGCAACCCTCTCCTTTGTCCCCTGCTCCAGAGAGGTCTCTTCATTGAAGAAAACACTACAAAATGTAAATGTATCAACACCCTCCCCTGTATGACAATTTGGCTGCAAACCCTCCCAGCAACAGTGCTCCTCCTGTACTTTAGCTGTCCAAATTCTGGGAAATCAAGATGTTTCAGCCATTCCTGACCCATGTCAAGTTTCCCTCCTCAGCAAAATCCTGGAAGTCAAATGGTAACATCTTCCCTCCTCACTGACAGGTAAGAAGAAATGAAAATTAAGGATGGAGGGAAAAAAAACAAAAACAAGAACAAACAAAAACAATCCATAACACAAAACCAGCCCAGGGAAAAGTAGTAATAACATATTCTATCTACCTTATCAGATTTAATGAATCTACCTGTTTGGTTTGATGAAACCATAAAGCAAACACAAATACGCTTGATGTTAAGTCTTAAAAACATACGAAAGTACATTTTTAGTTATAAGTGACATACACAAGAGAACTTACTACTAGGTCTCTAATCTTACTGATAATACAGCTGTTAATCACTAAGAAAGATCAGTCCAAAACAAAAGACTTCTGGTTTGACCTTAGAAAGGTCTTGAGCCTCATCTTTCCACTGAAAGCTCAACAAGCTCACCTGACAACAAACAGAAAAATGAAGGAGCATCTGACCTATAAATCTTGCTCAGAAAACACACTGGGATGATTTTGAAGAAATTTAACAAGGTATTTAAAATACGTGTTACACACTCCATCAAAACACCTTTTGGAAAGCTGTCAGTGACAAGACAGAAATTAAATGAGTTACAGAGACTTCACAGTAATCTTGCAAATATTTCATAACATCCCCTGAAAGTGTGATCAGGTTTTCCCTTGGGGTTTAGTCTTTGCCATAAAGCAGATGGGGGAGGGCATATTTTTAGCCTCTGAGTTGTTGCCAGTAGGAGGAAATAATCGATAATAATTTTAATTTCTGCTCTATCATGAAACTGGAGCTATGTTAGTACAACTCCCTAGAGTTGAGAGGGACTTGCTATAAAAAGCCCACAGCACAGCACATATCCACACTGAATTTAAAAATCCCTTCTGCCACAACAGACAATCCTCCTCTGGCTTCAGCTCCACGTACCAATGTCACTGCAGTACAGGGACGACCTCCCTCGCTCTGGAGGGGTGGTGTAGCCCAGCTGGTTATTAACAATCAAGTGGATGCTCCCACCAACTCTGAAATGTGGTAGATTAGAGAGGGTCAGTGTTTCAGGAACAATCCCTTGCCCAGAGAAAGCAGCGTCGCCGTGAACCTACATTAGGGAAGAAGGTGGAAAAGTCTCATTAGGAAATGCTGGAGGAGCAGCAAAATCAAACCTGTGGCTCATTAAACAACACCTTCTAAATTGAGCACGTGGCACAGACACAGTTCCAGCTGGACCCACTTCTTAATCCCTTTCATGATTTGAACCTTTACATTACCTTATCAGTAACACAAGGCCATAGCAGCCAACATGTGTACGAGACTGCCTGATGGAATTCCTGCCTGGAGCTGATCTATAATCTCCTCAAACTGACCCACCAGTGTCCAGGTGAGTGCAAGTGTCCTGGCTGTGGCAAAGCTGCAGCATTCAGCAGCAGGTCCCTGCCTCCTGACCAAAAGGAGCCTGTCACACTGCACCCTTTGCTGAATTTGGGTGAACTGGGACTTACACCTACTAGCATGAGTGTCATTTAGCATTCCAATGTTTTGAAACTACAGATAGTTCTCCATTGGTGAACATGATCACAGCTTCCTCAGAATGCAAAATCAGTCTTTTGCAGATCAAAGTCACTATGCAAATTTATGAGCTTTCTTATTGACAGTTCGACCTTCTTGCTCTGGGACAGTGATTTCAAGCCCTAGGAAACTTCTGAGGTGCAAATACACCTGCAGGATAGAGATGCAACCAGTGAAAGGGCAACACTGGGTTTTACACAGTTCTGATACAGTTTTAAAGAGGTATCACAGAAAAACATCTCAAACCCCACAGGATCCAATCCCTGTGGTGCAGGTGGGATTTTCCTCATTCTACCAGAAAGATGGAGACAGTTTTTGCTAGGACAGTCTTTTTTTTTTTTTCTGGGTTGCTTTAGCAAAAAAAACATAAAAGATCACCATCAAGTTTAATTCATTAAACAGGGACCCTGACAGTAGAATGTCAAATGTGAAATGACATTTCTGGGAGATCTTATTCTCAAATTTCAGTTGAAATCATAAACATCAGCAGTTGCCTGATGTCCAGGAAGTGGAGTTAAGGTATGTGAGAAGGTGAAAAATAAGCCACTCTCAGCAGAGATGGACAATCAAACACTGCAGAGGTGTCCATGCAGAGGAGTTTTATAGTCCTCATATATTCTAAGCACACTGAACTTCCAAAAAAAAAGATTTTCAGACCTTGGACAACTAGGCTTACATGGACACCTTAGCTGATCTTTACTCTTTTTCCCCTCAAGCTCTGCCCTCAGGCTGGTGGAAGTTCTGTTCTAGTGGAAGAACAGAACAATTGCCAGAGTAAACCTCAGTTCAGTGTCTACACTTACGTTTCTCAAGAAAAAGCACTGTAAAAACAGAACCCCCAGAAAGCCCAAAGAGAAACTTCCAAACCAAGACTCTGGAAAAGAAGGTATCTGCTTTCATCCCTTTCTTCTCAATTAGCTGAGTGAGAGCAGTTCACAGTCACAACTAAAAATTGGCCTTTTTATTTTTTTTTTTTCAATCTAACCCTTGGACCTCTTGAAGACACAATCACAAGTATTGACACTCACATTCCATGAAACACTTTCTTTCTTTCAGGAATACTTTGAATCAGTTACTAACATGGAGGTGTCTAGGTCAGATTTAACGTTGTTCCTCTCTACTATGCAGCCCTTCCTGCCACTTACCTGCACAAAAAGCAAACAGTTAAATTTTTCCTGCTTAGGGAAGGTCCATTTATCCTGAACAACCTTTGTTTAAGTTGCAGTACTCTCATTACTACATGGTGAAAATCTACCATTATGAGTAAGAGAGAATCCACAAAACAATAGTATGGTCTCAAACTAACTGATGTAACTGCACAGAAATATGAGGAGCAGACACAGTGGGCCACAAACATCTCCCTGAATCTTCATGCCTTAAAACCTTTTTTTTTTTTTAATAAAAAAATAAGAACCCAAACTTGCCCAAGATATTCTTGTTTCTGCTTTTTCTCAATATCCTTTCCAGAAGGAAGCAAAGCATTTTTTTTTAACTGAAATATGTTTTCACTTCTAAATGTAACTCCCTCCATGCTGATTATGCTTCACAGGAGGACAGTTCTGCCCAGCTCGTTTTTACTCCTGGCTTTAAAATGGGAAGAGTTTGACTCACTTGTTTTCCATGTTGAAAACAATGCAAGATAAGAAAATATATCAAGGAACTATTTAGGATTGCCCTACAACTACAAAAATCAAGTTTTTACAAGGAGTAAAAACTAATTCCAGCAGAGTCTTCAAGAGTACCATGATAAAGTGGCAAAATTCTAAATCCTCCTGAGGACTCTGCAACCTTGTTGACAGATCTTCTCCAAACCTATTAATTTAAAAGAAGGATTCTGGTGGTGGTTTAAATGCAAAAGTGGTCTGTGAGGAAAGGCACATATGGCTCCCAATGCAGATATTATTTTTTTAAAAAAAGGAAGATATCAGAAGCATTTCTTCAGAAATCTTAGAAGTGCAGTTGTTTAAATGCCAGTGTCATCAGGGATGGCACCTGGAAATCTTCCTTGCCCTCCTCTTTCCCCATAAAGAGGATCCCAGTGCTTGACATTATACATCAAATCAGGGTTTTTTTGCTATTTCTATGTACACTCCTGTTCACATTCTAGTCCAGCAAGTCTTACAAAGATCAGTTAGGAACTGTGAGCAAAATACCTGCAGGCAGATGACTTTGTCCCCAGGCTGTGCAGAGCTGTCTGGGGAGTAATCTCCATCGAGCAGGGTCTGCTGCCTGCCCCGTGTCTTGCCCACGGCCACGGGGTTGATGGCTTCCAAATGGGAGGGGTTGGGCAGCAAGGTGACGTGCACAGGCCTGTGGGCACCGAAGTCGAGGTCTACAGAAGATGTCAGGTGGGAGAGAACATCCCCAATGGCTGCTGAATTCTCTGGGAACTCGCTCAAACCGCGCATCTTGCGGAACATGACCTGCGCGGAAACAGGTTCGGTTAAAACCCTTCGCTGATCCATTGACACGGCAAAAGAGAAGCATTTACAGAACCCTGGGCTCTCCCTCTCCTGATATTGCAAGGATGCTTCTGATAACAGCACAGAAAGCCCTGCATTAGAGTTCTTTTCACAGCTGGCTGAAGTGTTGACAGGAGGGGAAACCGCTCTCACACAGGTTAACTTTTATTGCTCCAGCCACGACAAACTTTCAGGGGTTTATTTCCCCACAAATAAACCAGGCATCAAACAACTGCTCGTGAGATTATCAACCTCTTACCTCAGGTGGCAGCTGGAGCAGACCTGCGAGGAGATTAAGCCTTCCACGGTGAGGCATTCCAATAACAATGTCTGTCACTCCACTGTAGGCACACATCTTGAACAGCTCGTGGAAGAAGCCCATCATGCTCTCGGCCCCCTCGCCGCCGTAGCGCTTCACCGTGGCAAACTTGGTGGCCAAGAAGTGATCAAACTCCTGTGGGAAACAGGAGAACTTCAGCTATTAGGCTATTTTAGGCAGCAGCCTTCTGTTTGTAAAATTTAGTAGGATTTAGGTATTTATGTATCCTTAACACACCCCTTCAAAAAGTCTCGGCTCACTCTCCACCCACACAGTCTGAGAGCAGAAGCTACGGTGACTACAAGAAATCAGCTCTTATCTCCTCCTAAGCAGAAAAGTGTTGGGTTGAGGACCAAACTCTCTCCATCTAACATGGAAGGAGATGTATGAAGAACTGTAACACCACAGCAATTTACAAATTCCTTAATAGTTTACCTGTTTTAGGTGGAAATTAGTAAATGGTGTTCTTTTACAGTATAAAACATAACTATTTTGAGACACCAAGTGCTAGAGAAGCACAGTGTCTCGCTTTTGATTTATATTAGGCACAGTCCTTAGGACACAGGTGGAATGCTTGAGAGAAGAAACATAAATGAATCAGTATTTATTTCATTTTCTTCTCACTCCATTCACCTGTGCCTGGACAGCTCTCCAAAGTGACCACGTTTTGGAAGCACTGGAAGTTTATTTAGAGTTTTGCAACTGAAGACTGAAAATAAATGAAATTTGTAACTGAGAAGGCAGAACCACACCTAAAAATCAGAGCCAACTGCTGAACACCCTCTAGTTAAATAACATTCGGTTCTAATAGGAATAAATGATACGAAACTATTCACTCATAAAAGCAGTTAGGGTTAAATTCTATACTCTTTCTAAGCTGTCAGAGTTAAATTCTATACTCTTAGTATAGTTCTGATCATGCTGCAATCAAAGTAGGGTACATCAGGGTCCCAGTATCAACCTCCTGTGTCACTGTGAAATTCCTCTAACTGCCAAACAGGCAGCAAAATACAACATGGGCCATATACTTCTGTTTAGTCATCAGTACATATTACATTTAACACTCCTTCCACTTGGAAAACTGGAAACAGGGACAGTTTCACAGATCCTGCTCTTCTACCTTTCCAACCTTCACCGATCCTGCTCTTCTACCTTTCCATCCTTCTGGACAGCATGGGAAGAAAAGGGGAAAAAAATTAAAATTTTTCACAGTACAGAAGTATTGGAATAAATTTTCTCTATGCATTTTGAAAGTACATAAGTATTTCATTTCCTCACAGAATGCACTGAACAAGGTTCCTTGCTGAGAAGCAAATTTGCCAGTGCTGTATCATAACACCTCAGTCCAGCTGTGCTTTGTTCTCCCAAAACCTTGAGAGACACCGTACTTTAAAGCCAGTAAAACAGATCAGCACCAGAACAAGATTTCACAGAGCTCTGCCCAGCCTCGTGTTCCCATCAGTAACATTCCAGTGAGCTGTCAGACCACGAGGCTCAGAGAATCTCACTTTTGAAGACTGATTGCTCGTGGGTTTGTACAAACCGAAACACTGCTCTTTGTTTCAAGAATGGCTGCCAAGTAAATTCAGCAACAAACTCCAGTGAGATTCCTGCACCTGTGTACTGCAAAACCTTGTACTTCTTCCTCTTGCACACTGTCAAAGCCTTTCAGGATGGTGATTGTTCTTTTTTCTGCATGAATCGTGTCCAGAGCAGGAAAGAATCCATGACAAGATTCCCCGACTCTATTACAATCCAATAATGGGGAACAAGGTACCTGGGACTCCAGCATCAGTTTGCACAAGTGCTTCTTCTCTTCAGGTGTAAATGCTTCTTGCTTTAGCTCCTCAAACCTTTTAGCAAACCATTCCCTCTCCTCCAAGGTTGGAAGCTGGCTTGTTTCTATGGAAATATGCCCGCAGTATATATGGTCAAGGTAAGCCAACACATCCTCTAGGGAAGATTCTTCTTTTCCCATGTTTAGAAGTCCTGGTTGGGAAATAAATGTTATTGGTCACTTTGGGGGAGGAGACCCTCCTCTGTTCAAGGTCACAGCAAGAGTCTAAGAGAGGCAGGAAGACAAGTTTTGATTTCTGCCCCTGTCCTTTGACAGCTTCACTACAGTGTTAAGTACATAAATCATCAAATGTTATAGTAGCAAGATATTAATGTTTAACATCAGCAGCAAGAACAAGTACAGTTCATTACTGATTGAACCACCACTCAATATTTGGCTCTTCCACAGAGGCCACAGCCTCCCAGTAAATCACCCATGAAGAGAACTCACTGTGAGCAGGCTGGGGACCCACCTGTAGTAACGAGAGGCCCTTGAAGAACTTCAGCCAGCTGTTGGATTTCAGGTACCATGGTCATAAGAGCCTGGCCAGCAAACAGGGGGTTAATTTTGGCTGCTTTGTGGCCGTGTTCAGCATAGGCGGTTATTAAACGAGCCAGAGCGTGGTCAACTGAAAGCAAAAAGAAAGCAGAACAGCATCACGCATGTGCCCTTGGTAAAGTGCTGACAGTATTCAAGTCTGAAGGCTTTCATTTTCCTAAACAATGCACTTCTGAGACCAGTTCACGAAGTTATTTCTCTGACACTTGTGTTTCCATTGCTGACACTCTGCTCCACTATGTTCACAAAGTCAGCCCATTCAAAACAGGCCCTTTTCTGTAGTGGGTTCTGCAAGGGGGACAAAACCCAGAACATAACTCTTAACATCTCCCACAATGCTCTCAGCAAGAAAGCCATTTAAAATGTAACACAGAAATATGTTAACTATTAACAAGGAGGATACTTTGTGGACTTGGTGCCCCTGAGCTACCAACCTGTTTCAGTCCTGCTTCTGTCCAAGAGGCTTAATTCACAAAAATCCCAGAATCGTTATGTTTGGAAAGGACCTCTGGAGATCATCCAGTACAACCCCCCTGCCAAGGCAGGGTCACCTGGAGCAGGTGGGTTTGGAATGTCTCCAGAGAAGGGAGACTCCACAACCTCCCTGGGCAGCCCATTCCAGCGCTCTGCCACCCTCCATGGACAGAAGTTCTTCCTCGTGTTTAGGTGGAACTTCTTGTGTTTTAGTTTATGGCCATTGCTCCTCGTCCTGTTGCTGGGCACCACTGAAAAGAATCTGGCACCATCCTCCTGGCACTCGCTTTGGAGATATTTATGTGTATTAATGAGATACTTATGTGTATTGATGAGATCCCCTCTCAGTGTTCTCCAGACCAAGCAAACCTCAGTGTCTCCTCAAAAGAGAGATGCTCCAGACCCCTCATCACCTCTGTGCCCTCCGCTGGACCCTCTCCAGCAGCAAATTGTCTTTCTCACTCTGAGAAGCCAATTCCTACCGAAGTCTCCGCCAAGCTGTTAATGCAGGGACCACATACTCCTACCCCGGAGAGTTTTGTGCACTTGAAATCCTATTTCTGCACCGTAAAACCGAGTTAAAACCACCACGGTTACCGCTATGGGAGAGAGTTACCTATACTGGTAACTAGATGGCCAGTTCAAGCAACGTAATAAAAAAAAAAGGAAAAGACAGGCGCGGGGCTGAGGTACTTCCAGGGCAGCAAAAACTGAGGCAACTTCGAGCCGCTGAAGCAACTCCAGCAGCTGGTGCAGGGCCAGGCACCACAACCTTCCCCGGCAGCGAGCGGGGACCCCGGCGAGCACCACAACACGGAGCCCCCCTCAGCCCTGAACCCCCTCACGGACCCCGCCGCCCAGCCCATCCCAGCCGCGGGGGGGGAAGGGGGAAATCCCACCTGCTCTGCCGGCTCCACGGGGCTGCTGCTGTTGCTTTTGCTGCACCGCCGCCTTGCCGGGTTTGTAGCCGTACACGCCGCGCTCGGTGCGGTACCAACGCTGAGGGCAGGACCGGCGCAGAGCCCAGCGGAGAGCGCGGGATCCCCCCACCAGCGCCGCCATGGCCGCGGCCGCGCTGCCTCAAGAGCGCTCCCCCCTCCCGGGGCCCGCCCGAGAGCACCGGGGGCGGCGCCGCGCCGGACCCGGCGCGGCGCCGCCCCCGGTGCTCTCGGGCGGGCCCCGGGAGGGGTTGGGAAACAGATCCCTCACACATGGAGCGTGTGGAAAGCCGTGTGGGTGATCTCCAGAGGTCCCTTCTAACCCTAATTATCCCGCCATTCCGTGAACTGCCGGCAGGTTGAAGGAGGTGGTTCTGCCTCTTTGCTCTGCCCTCATGATACCCCCCCACACACACCCTCAGCTGGAGCGCTGCGAGTTGGAATGGGGTGATCTTTAAAGTCGCTTCCAACCCAAACCATTCTGAGATTCTGTGATTGCCAGCAGGTTCCCTCTGCTCAGCAGTGGGGAGGCCACACCTGGAGCACCGTGTCCAGGTCTGGGATCCTCAGGACAAGGCAGACATGGACATAGTGGGGAAATTTCAGTGAAGGGCCATGAGGATGATGAAGAGGCTGGAGCACCTCACAGATGAGGAAGGGCTGAAAGAACTGGGACTGTTCAGCCTGGAAGAGAAAAAGCTCAGGAGGATCTTATCAGTGTGTGTAAATACCTAAGGGAAGGTGCAGAGAGGACAGAGCCAGGCTCTCTGAACATTAGGACACAATTTTTTCCCCATGGGTGACCAAGGACTGGCACAGAGTGAATAAAAATAAATAAAAGCGAATGTTGCAAAGAAGGCGAAAGGATACAGCTGTATGACAGTGTAGCAGAAATTGAACACTAATCTTTTTTCAATTAGAACAGAGGAACCTTGAAAATAATGCTGAAAGATTACATGATTTTGTGAAGTTGACAGTGGAGAGGCATAAAGGCCTGATATAGTTAAACATTTCCATTCTGTGCTTGGGGGAAAAAGACAAATGTTGCAGGCACACTGCACGATGATGAAATACTTTTCCCCAGTTCTTAAGCAAATACCAGTCAAATAGCAGATATCAACGTGGTTTTGCTTTAAGTCAGGTAGGCACTTAGTTGAATATTTCCCAATTAGCACTGATAGGAATAGGTTTGAACACTAAAAATTTTCCACCTTTTCCAGTGAGATGGTTCAGCCTCACAATGTGGATTTTGGAGAAGTAATCAAATATTTGTATATATGAGTTCACTTACTGGTTCAATCAAGTCTAAGCAGGGGTTTATGGAATATATTTCTCATCAGCTCAACTTGCTGGTTTCTTTTCTGTGATTCAAAATCCGGTTAATGAAGATTTAAAGTCCCTTGCAGATTTGCCAGCCTACTCATCTTGCACAGGACATGATTACACGTGGCCAAAGCATTGCTGGAGGTGTATCTGGGTCAATAAAAGGTTTTGTTGACTTTGGCTCACGTCTAAATGTGAGGAAGCGGTCCCTGTGCCAGCAGAAACGCTGCTGCTGAGAGTGGATCCAAGGGGACTCTCCTGGCCTGGCTTTTCTGGCACAGAGAGCCTGTCCTGATTCAGCTCTATGTGTTCAGGAGTTGTATCAACCCCAAAAAACCTGCCCACAACTGAGGAAGTCCTGAGGAAGATTGTCAGCTGGAGGTGTGTGGTGAAGAGAGGTTATCTGGGATCTGAGTGTCAGGATGGAGATAAGCAAATGTGATTCATTGCAACAGGGTAAGATGAAAGCTTGTACACCTGGAAAGAGTGTGTGCACTGAAATGTAGCTCCTTCCCAGGAAACAGGGACTATAAATAATCTACAAAACTCGTGAGGAAAAAAAAACCCAGATGGGTCTAAAAAACTCATACAAATATCTGCTCACTTGGCAAAACAAGATGATTTCCTGGATTTGGCTACGAGGAAATAGTGAGTACACCTACAGATTCTGCATTAGGTCAGTATTTGGCACAGTTTGAATTCTGTGTGTAAGTTGTGTGACAGTGATTGAGGAAACACAGAAAAACTTGGGAAGAATTAAAAAAAACCAAAAACAAACCAACAAACCACCTGCTTTATACCTGAGACTCAGGAAGTGAGATCTGTGTGGTTTTGGCAAATCAGTAGAAAAGCTTGACCAGTGTGTGCACAAATGAAGCAGGTGCTTTTGGCAAGATAAATGAAATCTTTGTGTAGCAGGGACATGTGAATGATCTGTGTCAATAACAAGCACAACTTTGTCTCCAGAAAGAGATTTTCAGAAATGTCTGCAAAATGAGCAGTGAAGTTGAACAGCAGGGAGGAGAAAAAACCCAAACCTGTCTAGTCCTGCCTAGTCCTGGCAGAGCACACCTAAAACTCTGCATCAGTAAACAGAGTCTCCTAGTGGGGCTGACTCTTGCCTCTGAATAAAAGGTGGCTTTAACAGCTGAATAATCCCATTCTGCACATCCACTCCTGTGCCTGCTGTGACAGTCCAGTATTGCTGAGGGCTTGTTCTAAGCCTAGAGGGGTGTAAAAGCTTTTCCAGCCCTAAGAAAAAGCTTCTGTCAGAGCCTGGATTCTAAATGCAAAATAAACACCAGATCCCCACTCTCCAGCTCTGGGCTGTGCCAGCTTTTCCCAGCCTGGGCAGCCTTAGAGTTGCCCCAGGGGTGACACCGTGCCCAGAGTGCAGACAGGGAATGTTTCAAATAAATCAGGGAATTCAGTGCATTAAATTCACCACTGCAAAATGCCTTCTGCATGTCCAGGTGAGAACAGCACCAGAGCAGGGGAGCAAAGTGCAAAGACCAGGTTTAGACTAGAAAAGACACTCTGAGAGAATCCCACGATGGTTGGGGTTGGAAGGGACCTCTGGAGATCATCCAGTCCAAACCCCCTGCCGAGGCAGGGTCACCTGGAGCAGGTGACACAGGAATGCATCCAGGTGGGTTTGGAATGTCTCCAGAGAAGGGAGACTCCACAACCTCCTTGGGCACCCTGTTCCAGCGCTCTGCCACCCTCCAGGGAAGGAAGTTCTTCCTCACGTTGAGGTGGAACTCGTGTTTTAGTTTATGGCCATTGCTCCTCGTCCTGACACTAAACAGGGTCTGGCACCACCTCTTGGCACCCGCCTTTAAAATATTTATGTATATTGATGAGATCCCCTCTCAGCGTTCTCTTCTCCAGACCAACCAGGCGCAGTTCCCGCAGTGTCTCCTCACACGGGGATGCCTCCTCCCAGACCCCTCCTCCCCTCTGTGCCCTCCGCGGGATCCTCTCCAGCACCTCCCCGTTTCTGCGACCGGGGCACAGCCGCGGACACCCGTTAACCCCGCAGCCCCGGTGTCACCCGCTGTTAACTCGCCGCTCCCCGCGGTGTTTTGAGCGGTGACACCCGAGTGTCCCCCCGGCCGGGGCGGCACAGACACAGCACGGCGGGGGCGCCGCGTGCGGCCACCGGCCGAGCCGCGCGCTGGGGCCGCCAAGCCAGCGGCACTCCGAGCCCGTTCCCCCCTTTCCCGCCGCGGCGGACGCGCGGCCGAACCCCTTCCCGTTCCTTTCCCTTTCCCTTTCCCTTTTCCCCTCCCCTTCCCCGCCCCATTCCCGTCCCTCTTCCCCTTCCCCGCCACTTCCGCCTCCGCAGGTCCCGGTGACCCGCCCGCCGCCAGGCCCCCGCACGGGGCTGCCCCTCGCGCCGCCTGACCGCCGCCGCTCGCGAAGCGCCGCTCCGAGCCGCCCGCAGCCGCCGCCACGCCGCGCCTCAGCGGCTCAGCCCTTCCCTCCTCGCCGGGGCGCGGCGCGGCGGGCCCGGCCGGCGCTTCGCGGGCTCGGCCGGTGCGGCGCCGCGGCTCGGGCGGCGCGGCGGGCGGCCCCGCGGCCGTGAGGGGAGCGGCGGGCGGGGACCTCGGCGGGGCGGCGGAGGCGGCGGGCGGGCCGGGCGGGCCCATGTCGGCACCGGGCACAGGTACGGGCGAGCCGCGGCCAGGGGGCGAGGGCAGCGCGGCCCCGCGCCGTGTGTGGGGAGCGCGGCCCCGGGGGCCGTCGGGACGGCGCGGGAGCCTGGCGGGGCCGCGGGGAGGGAGTCCCGGCGGCCGGAGGGGTCGGGGCGGGGAGGGCTCGGGCGGCGGTGCCGGAGGGCGCGGGGAGAGGGCAGGGGGTGCTGCTGCTGTTTCTGCTGCCGGGCGAGAAGGGCGGGGGGAGCGCTGGGAGCGGGCGTTGGGGCCGGGAGCGAGCGGGGCCGTTCGGGGCCCCGTTGTGGCCGCCGTTTGCCGGTGCACGGCGCGTCCCCGCGGGCCTGGCAGCGGAGCGCTGGGTCCCGGGACGCGGGGAGGCGAAAGGAAAAGCGCCCGGCTGCTCGCCAGACCGGGCCGAGCGTGGGGCAGCGCCGTGGAGTTGTGCCAGGGGGGATATCGGGAAAGGGTTGCTCGCCCAGGGGGTGGTCGGGCACTGGACCAGGCTCCCCAGGGCAGCGGGCAAAGCACCAAGCCTGGCAGAGCTCCAGAAGGGTTTGCACAACGCTCTCGGCCACACGGTGGGATTCTTGGGATCCTGTGCAGGGCCAGGAGCTGGACGGATGATCCTTGCGGGTCCTTTCCGACTCAGGATGTTCCCTGGTTCTGTGAACCTTCCCTGCCAGTGCACGGGGGGCTCCTCTCTCTGCTCTGTAGTTTCCTGCTCTGCTCCTCGTCTCATCTTCCAAAACTTGTGGCTGAGTTTATTTTCTCCTCGTTGACCAGGGCATTTTCCTGATGCACCTTCCCTTGCTTTAAGGGAATCCTGGTTGCATTTCATTCCTTGAAAATTTTTAACTTCCCAGTGGTGTGATGATAACCAGCGAGGGAGGAGTTTGTTGCTCTGTCAGGTTTTTCAGCTGGTCAGAAGTGGGGACATCTTGCCCATGTCCTTTATCTCCCTCATCTCTTCCGTAGCAGAGCAGCTGCAAAAAGGACCGTTTATGTGACCAATTTTATTCCCAGTGGCAGTAAAAGGAGAACATGAAAAAATCTCAGTGTGTTTAGTTTAATAGAGCTGTATTTCTTCCCCCCATATGTGTGTTTGCAAGGACTGAGGTTCTGGATCAGATTAATGCAGACTGTGAGAACAGACTTTTTATTGCCTTGAGAAGACTGATT